AACTCGACGCAGCTGGCGAGCGCCGGGTCCGCGTCCCACTCGGCGAATAGTGTGGTTTTCACCTTGGGGCACGTGAGCTCGGGGTGTCTGGTCAACGCTGCCGGTGAGGGCCTTACTGGTAGAGGAAGCATGGGCGGTCATGGTAGCAGCACGTCTTGGCACCGTCGACGACGCAGTCAAAGCGGGTGCGCCCGCTGTACTGGCCGGTAAACAGCGTCAGGCCTGCGGCGGCGGCGACTGAGGGGAAGAGCAGCGGGCTCACGTGCAGCCACGGCTGCACCCCGGGCGGGTCGACGTAGTCGCGGTTCTCGGCGCGCCAGAGCACGCGGATAGCGTTCTTGCGCGTGTAGTTGAGGAGCACGTCGAGGCTGGGGTCCATGGTGGTGAGAGGTGAGTAGGTGATGAGGTAGAGGTGAGTAGAGGTGAGTTGGTGAGTGTAGGTGACGAGATGAGTGTCAGGTGAGACATGTGATGATCAGTGTTGATCAAAGTATTGAAGTCCTACTGCATCCTTAGACGTTAGCGCATCCCAGGTCCCACTCACAGTTTGCGCAGCTCGCTTACGGCAGGTGGGCATCATGTTGTCTGGACGCTGGTGAGAGCTGTGAGCTGGGTAAGACTGTGAGGTGAGACCTCCCTATAAATCAGTCGCGAGGTCAGCAATACGATGCTACCAGTCAGCTGTCCGAGATAAGATAGCGCCACGCTAAGAGCCGGCTGTCGCAGGAGCCGCGGCAGCGAGGGCAAATGGGTGGCCTCTGAGCATGTCGCCTCGTCCGTGGCGCAGCTAGTACAGATCCCAGGAACAGAATGGACGACGATTCAGCCAGAGTTGAGCCGGGAAGGTGCATATAAGCAGCGCGAGTGATTTCTTTCCCCTCTTCTCTTCACTGCCCACCACTCGCCACCCACTCGACCTTGCCGTTGCCTCCGACCCAACTCGACCTCGCTACCTCGCCACTCGACCTCACCCCTCGCCACCAACTGCTCTACGGTTGGGGCTGTGTCATACCGTTCCGGGCTGCCCCCCCGGTTGGTGCAGTGCAGGCTGTTGTAACACAGATGTGTGTTGTGCAGTGCCGTCCCGCAGAGCAGTCGACTTCGACCCGACTTCAACTCAACTTCGACTTCACATCAACTTCTACTTCGACTTCGGCCCAACTCAATTTCGACCTCACTAACACACTAACACACACTAACACCAGGTCATGCTGACGCTAGATAACCACTGTGAGTCCATGCATTCCATCGCTGACAGCTAGCCCGACCCTCTACTGCTCGACTGCACGACCCTTCGACCACTCGACTCTAGCCAACTACCAACTCCCACCTCGCACTCTCAACAGACTCGCCACCGACTTCACTCTCTGACCCGACTTGCCGACCACGCCTCTCGACTCTCGACCCGACTTGCAACTTCGACCACGGTGCTCGACCCGACTTGCTGACCACACCTCTCGACCTTGCTTCCTTGCTCTTGCTCATGCTTCCGGGCGCCCAGCAGTCTGTCCGTACTCCTGCCAACTAAAGAGACGCCAATTTTGCACTCATCGTCTTCCACTACGCCTGACTCGGCCTTGGCCGGTGACCTCCAGGCTCGGGTCGTAACCAGCCCTTACCCAACACACGATGGGCAATTAATCTTCCTCCGAGGACCACTCTGGCCGTGACCAGTCCGGCGCCCTGCTCCTGGCAACTTCACCGACGTCTTGCCCTCCCCCAGTCAAGACCTCAACCTGCAGTCTGACGAGCCCGCGGCCCGTCGAGCCCTCTGCGCCATGAGCCCCGGCGAGGTCGCCAACAATGTCTTCCCCGCGCTCCCTCTCACCATGCAGCCTGGCGAGCCCGCGGCCGGCGTCTTGCCCACTCCCACACAAGCCCTCACCATGCAGCCCGGCGACCCCGGCGACGACATCTTCCTCACACCTAGCCAAGCCCCTCGCATCTTGCACCCCCGCCAGCGCACGTCCGACGTCTGGTTCCTCGCAGGATGCGCCACCTCTCAGCCAGCTCCAGCTAACTCTCGGACGCTGGAGTGACTGACCCCTGGAGGCCAACAGTAGGACGATACCGGACACGGCGCTGCATCATGGACCTTGCCATGCGTGTGCGTCAGTCTAAGCACGGCACTTGCAGCACGGCATAATCGTGGACAGGTTCACAATGTTCAATCAATGCACACGACTACCACTCTAGTTTGGGGTTGCCACAGCCGTCGCCTCCGCAGCCACCTACTGCCGTAGCCGCAATGCCGCCCATCTCCTTGGCCGTGTCCTTGCGGACCATCCACTTGGAGGTGCCGATGACCATGTCCAGCTCATCCGCGGGCGGTAGCCGTACGAGAAGCTTGCCGCCCTCGGATCGCACCTCGAAGGCTAGTACCGAGTAATCGCCGTCGTTGATGCAGTCGCCATTGTCCAGCTTGAAGTTGCGCTTGTGCAGCGGACAGCTGACGTACAGCTCGCCGTTCTTGTCGCCGATAATGCCGTGGTCGAGTACAAAGGCGCGCTTGTGCGGGCACATCTGCTGCGTGGCATAGTAGCCCTTGTGCGGAACGTGGAAGATGGCCAGCTGCGAGTCTCCATAGCGTACGGCTGCGGACGTTGTGTTCTCGTTGTTGGGTGCGAGGTCGGACACGGCGGCGAGCGGCACCCACTTCCACTCGGACTTGGGCGGAAGCGACGCGAGGGTAAACTTCTGCGAGGGGAACTCTTTCGGCCAGTCGGCAGCGCGGTTCTGGCCACGCTCAGCGACGATCTCTACGGCCTCCCTGCGTTCGGGCGTGTTGACAAACTGGCGGAACTTGGAGCGCACCAATGGGTCCTGTACCGCCTTCTTCCACTCGTCCTCGTACGAGTCGACCAAAGACGCCATCTCTGCCTCGAGGTCGGCGCAGATACCCAGCTCGTCGTCGATGAGGATGCGCTGGAGCTTGGCCAGGCCGCCGTCGAACGACTCCACCCACGGAGCGGTGCGTTGGAGGTGCTCGGCGGTGCGGATGTAGAACATGATGTAGCGGTCGAGGATGCGCACCACTTTGGTAGGCGGCACGTCCTGCGCGAAGAGCAGCGCGTGGCGCGGGTTGGCCCCCCCATTGCCGCCGATGAAAACTGGAGTCAGCCAGTTCATAAATCACTCACTGTTCCAGCCCTTGTCTGTCGCGATAAGGCCAAAGTCTTTGGACTGCGCCTCGGCGCACTCGCGCACGCATCCTGAGACACCACCCTTGAATTTGTGAGGAGCACGCACACCACGGTACCGGTTCTCCAGGTCGATGGCCAGGCCAACCGAATCGCCGACACCAAAGCGGCACCAGGTAGAGCCAACACACGACTTGACAGTGCGCAGAGACTTGCCGTACGCCTGGCCAGATTCGAGACCGACTTGGTGCAACCTGGCCCAGATGTCGGGCAAGTCAGGCTTCTTGGCTCCAAACATGTCGATGCGCTGCCCGCCCGTGATCTTGGTGTAGAGACCGTAGTCGGAAGCAATTTGGCCAATGGCCACAAGCTGCTCGGGCTTGACCTCGCCTCCGGCCATGCGCGGGACGACGGAGAAGGACCCATTGCGCTGGATGTTGGCCATGAACTTGTCGTTCGTGTCCTGGTTGCCGTGGTGTTTCGGGAGCATGACGTGCTCGTTGTGGAGGCCGGCGAGGACACTGCCGATGGCGGGCTTGCAGATCTCGCAGCCCTGGGATCCCCGCTCGCCGATCGTGTCCATGATGGTGCGGAAGTCGGAGAGCTTCTTGACCTTGACGACAGCGAGCAGATCCTGCCGGCTCATCTTGATATGCATGCAGAGGCTGGAGTGAGCGGTGTCCGCAGTGTGGCTCACTTCTTGTTGATCTTGTGGCCGGCCTTCTTCATTTCGCTCTTGAAAATGGCCGTCACGAGGGGCACACAGCCGCCGCAGCCCGAACCGGCCTTCGTCTTGCACTTTATGTCGGGCAGCTCGGTCATGCCGTTCTTGACGCACTGGGAAATGGCTCCCTTGGTGACATTGTGGCATGAGCACACGACCGCGTCGTCGTCAAGGTCGTCTCCGTCCTCGTCGGCGTTCTTGGCTCCGAGGATGAACTGAGACGGCGGGACATCGAGCGCCTTCTTCTTCTTAGTGATGGCGACCAGTTTTGTGAAGTCCGAGACATCCCCGATCATCATGCCGCCTATGAGATGCTTGCCATCCTCGCTGAACAGGTATTTCTTGTACACGGAGGCAATGGGATCGTGGTAGGTGAGACACTTAATGGGGCCATCCGCGAGCAGGTGGTCCCGCCGGTGGATCGCCACTTCCCCCGGCGTGGGCTTGCGGGCGTCGGCAAAGTAGTTGCCGAAGCTGGCGACGTCGACACCCATGAGCTTGAGGCGGGTAGACAGGTCAGGCGGGTTCATCTTTCTGGGCGCGTGTGCACCGCGGCCGTGCGTTTGCGTGAGGTTGAACGCCAGGATGCTGGCCATCTCGATACCGGGCGCAATGAGGCCGTAGTAGTTTCCCCGCCAGTTGGCGCATTCGCCAATGGCGTACACGTTCGGGAGGTTCGTGAGGAGGCTGTCGTCGACAATGATGCCGCCGCTCGGAGCTGTCTTCATACCTGTTGCGGCTGCCAGGTCGTCGCGCGGCCGGATACCAGTGGCAAAGATGACCATGTCGGACTCGATATATGGCTCAATGAAACCGGTGAACGTCCCGTCGTCGGCTGATATACCTTTCGGGGAACACCGTGTCAGGACCTTCACGCCCATTCCTTTGATGCGCTGCATCACGAGCTCACCAGCTGGTGCGTCGAGCTGGCGGTTGAGCGGGTAATCTTGCCGGATCAGGATGGAGACGTCTGGCACACCGATATCATACACGGCCTTTGCGGCTTCCAACCCGAGCAGCCCCCCGCCCACGACAGTAGCCCGCTTGACATGGTCGCACTCCGCATACTGAATGATACCCTCGAGGTCGGCGATGCTGCGGTAGACGAACACGCCATTGGTGTTGGCCGCTTCGGCCCTGGTGATATACGAAGGGAGGTCGGCCACGGATCCTGTGGCCATGACGAGGATATCATACTGGAAAAGGTTATTCTTGGAGGTGGTAACCGTGCGGCTCGTAGGGTCGATGTGGGTGACCTGCTTGTTAGCTCTGGCGCGGGCAGTCTCACCTGCTCGCCAATATGGAAGGCGAAGTGCTGCGGGTTCTGTTGCGCATACCACGAGACGTCGTTGAGGTACAAGTCCTCAATGTTGCGGTGTTGAAAGTACTCTGTGAGGCCGACGCGGTTGTACGCGTACGTCGGTTCCTCGCCGCACGTTCGCACAAAGTAGCGGCCCTCGACGTCGAGCGTGAGCAGCTTCTCGATGAAAGCGATGCCGACCATGCCCAGGCCGACGACCATGACCTGGATGCGGTCGCCCAGGCACGACTTGCTCCTGCTCGCCTGTCGCGCGGTACTCATCCGCCGTGTCCGGCTGCGACTCCCAAGACGCGGGGCGGTTCCACTAGAGCTGTCGCGGCGGCTGCGTGCGCGGGTTGTTGACATGGTGTGGGATAGTAAGTTTTGGTGACTGCAACTTTCCATCTTGTTGCTTAAGAGGACCTGCCTACCGCACATGGTTTTGCCGCAGGTGCGCCATGCAAGCTGTCAGTGACTGCACTCCCAATAAACAGCTCTCGATAGTCATCCAAGTCCTCGACAAATGACAGTGGGGCAATGACACGACCGGAACGTGGATATCTACCGCACTCCGCGTCCGCTCACTGCTTTGGCCTGTCGCTCTACTCTGGCCGACCTTATCTGTGGCTGCCGTAATTCCCAATTGCGATCCACCGCGGCCCTTATCACATAAGCCACAGTCTGCGTCTTATCTCTCTGGCGTCCTTATCGGGCCGATCTAATTCATTTGCAGCGCTCATCTATTCTCCCCGCGATGAGGGTTTCAGAATGTTCTGTAAGCAGCATACTAGTTCAGGCCCCCGCCCTGGGACACGGGGCTCCGTCGCTCGGAGGTGTTCGGACAGCATGGCCAGCGCGGGGCGCTCGGATATTTGTGGCGCCGACGGCGCTCTGCTGCTTTGGTGACTGACCTTGGCTGACATTAAAGGGAGGCTGAGATAAAGAGTGGTGCCGAGATAAGGCGGACCGCAAATGACTCGACAGTGATAAGGAGCCCAAAAATAGGAGCGAGGGGGAGCAGGTGGCAGTCTGGTGTGGCGCGACATGGCCATGCCGTCCATAGAGCACAGAGCAAGCACAGAGCAGCACATGATAGTACCACAGAGCAGCGCGCGTCTGGGCATTTAAAGACTGCTCGCAGCGGCATCCTCGACAAGCGACACAACCCCCATGTCCGACACTCTGACCCCCGCAGAGGTCACTTCCAGTAAGCGCGAAACCTGCCAGCGCGCTGACCCACAGACTTTGTCAAGTTGGGCGCCACCAAAGCGGCCCAGTCGTACTACGTCTCTTTCTTCAAGGCGTGGATGGCCGGCTGGATGCTCGTGTTTGGTGCCATGCTCGTGCAGATCATTCAAGCCGGCTCTGGCACGCTCCGGACCAACTATCCCGCGCTTATCTCGCTCGTTTCCGCCTTCTTCTTCCCTATCGGCCTCATCATGCTCGTCCTTACCGGACAGGAGCTCGTCACTGCACACCTCATGTTCATGCCCATGGCACTGGTGCGCCGCCGCATCAAGGTCTGGGAGTTGCCCCTCAACTGGCTCATCGTCTTCTTCGGTAACCTCGCTGGCGTGCTCTGCTACGTTGCGTTCATGGCCCACTTTTCAGATCTGTACGCCGCCGAGCCCCTCATCAAGTACTCCCAGGGTGTTTCTGTCTCCAAGACCACTGAGACTTGGGGTGCTTGCGTGCTCCGCGGCATCGGGTGCAACTTCCTCGTCTGCACGGCCGTGTGGCTCGGCGCCGGCGCGCGCGAGACGTCGTCCAAGATCATGGCCCTCCATCTCCCGGCGTTCCTGTTCGTCTTTCTCGGATTCGAGCACGTTGTCGTCAACATGTACTACATCCCCATAGGTATGGTCAACGGCTCGGGCGTGACGGCCGCCCAGTACATCGGCAAGTCCATGATTCCCAGTCTCATCGGCAACATTATCGGCGGCGGTCTGCTTGGCCTCCCCATGCTGATGTTCTACGACGCCCCCGAGCTCCCCCTCTTCAACAAGCTTCCCGGCCGCCGGGCGCCCACCGCATCGGTGGTGGAGCGCACAAGCGGCGAGATCACCCCTGTGCGTACATCGTCCGATGAAAAGCTGCCGAAGTCTCCGTAGCAATTCCCGCGGTGTATAGTAGAATGCAAATTGTACAAGTAACCGTACGGATCGGAAGTACAGCCGACCCCTCCAGCATGCGCGCGCTGTCTCCTACGTAGTGCTGTCGCGGTTTCCCCCAGCTGTTTCGCGTGTGGCCTCCACTTCCAATCCCACCCAGATTGTCACCCCAAGCCGGTACGCGCCCCATATCATTCATTAGGCACGATCGACTCTTGGCATCCGATAAGCTCCTAGAATGCTGCCTGGAGAAACGGCATTTCCCACCACGAGTGCAAACGCCATGGCCGGGTCAGTGCGGCGCATGGCGGAGGACGTGCATGCCTGCATCCTCCCACTGCACAGCCAAGGATGTCAAACTGTGCATATTTGTTATGGTAGGCTTCGACAGAAGAGGCTCGCTGATTCTACGGCGTGACGATGTTGAAGTTTCTGTCCCCTGGGTCGAGAAGCGCCCGGAGCCGTCTCAGAGCCCCGATGTCCCCCTCCAAAACGATGCCTGCCTTTTCGAGTTGCTCCGGGTCGAGCCCGTAGATAGCCAAAGCAGTGAGGGAGCGGTTCGTGGCCGTGATCCTGACGTCGGCATCGTTTGTCTGAGGCGCCTTCGTGTAGAGGAGGGCGCCGTTGGAAAGCCATACCCGATATGTCGTGTCCGTGACCACGTCCATGGAGAATTGGACGTCCCACGCCGCCGGGCCGTTTATCTGGATGGCGAGCGCATCAAACAGCATCTCGGGCGTGAGCTGGGAGATGACGTCGGGCGAGGCAGCGGTCGCGGCGCCAAACTTGCCGGAGCGCAGCTCCGCGGCGCCCGAGAGGTAGAAGTTGCGCCACGTGGCGTTCTCTGCGCCGTAGCCCAGTTGCTCGTACGTGTCGGCGAGCAGCTCGCGCGCCGGATTACTGGGGTCGGCGAACACGACGTGGTTGAGGATCTCGGCCGCCCAGCGGTAGTCGCCCTCTTTGAACGCCGCCTCGCCCGCCGCAACGGCTTTGTCGACGCCGATGAGGTCCACGTAGCGCTTGGAACGCTCCTCGGGGGTGTGCTCCCACAGGTGCGCCGGGTTGCCGTCGAACCAGCCCATGTAGCGCTGGTAGATGGCCTTGACGTTGTGGCTGAGTGAGCCGTAGTATCCGCGGGTGGACCAGGTCTCGAGGGCGGGCGGGAGGCGCATTTTCTCGGCGATCTCGGGCCCGGTGTACCCCTGGTTCAGCATGCGCAGCGTCTGGTCGTGCACGTAGGCGTACAGGTCGCGCTGCACGGATAGGAAGCGGCGGACGTTGGCGGCGCCCCACGTCGGCCAGTGGTGGGAGGCGAAGACAACGTCCGTCCGGTTGGCGAACAGGTCGATCGCCTCGGTCAGGTACTTGGCCCAGCCGTGCGCGTCGCGCACCAGGGCGCCGCGCAGCGTCCCGAGGTTGTGGAACGTGTGCGTGGCGTCCTCGGCGGCGCACAGGGCCCGCTGGCGGGGGAAGTAGATGAGCAGCTCGCAGGGCGCCTCGGTGTCGGGCGCCATCTGGAACTCCATGGTGACGCCGTCGATGGTGCGCGTCTCTCCCGTCGTCTCAATGCTGTCCGTGGGCGCGATCAGCGTGACCTCGCCCCTGGAAACGGCCTGCCCGAGTCCGCAGCCGATCTGGCCCTGCGGGCCGCGGGGGATGGCGCCGTACATGTAGGCAGCGCGCCGGCCCATGGCGGTGCCCGCGAACACGTTCTCCGACACGGCGTGCTCGAGGAACCCGACGGGGGCGATGATGGGCAGCCCCGCGTCGACGTCCTCCTGGGTGACCATGCCCTTGACGCCTCCAAAATGGTCGACGTGGGGGTGCGTGTAGATGACGGCCTTTATCTGCCGCGGCCCGCGGTGGTCGCGGTACAGCTGCAGGGCCGCGGCGCCGGTCTCGCGCGACTTGAGCGGGTCGATGACGATCACACCCTCGTCTCCTTCGATGAAGGTGGTGTTGGAGATGTCGAGGCCCCGGACCTGGTAGATGCCTTCGGCGACCTGGAAGAGCCCGCCAATGTTCGCAAGCTGGCACTGGCGCCAGAGACTCGGGTTGGCGGTGTCGGGCGCGTCCCCATTGAGAAAGTCGTACCAGTTGACGTCCCAGACACGGGCATCGACGGGCTTGAGTGGCGCGATAAGGTTCCTGGTTGCGTCGGCGAAGTCCTGGGTGTCGGCAAAGGGGAGGCTCCTCTTTGCCTCTTCCTGCTGCTTGACGATGATGTCGGTTGCGGGTTTCGCCATGTTGGGTCGAGCTGTTCGATCTGTTCGATCTGTCGGATCTGGTGTTATATACCTGAGGTGCGCCAGCGTGTGAGTTGATGTCTGGATAGTGAATGCGGGGCTTGAGAATGGTCAGTTGATGTCTGCCCACTTCGAGATCAGGGAACATCCGGGTAAGCCCGATACCGAAGATGCCGAGATTCCATATCACGGGCTTCACCAGTGCCGGCGCATCCAGATACACTTTATTCCTAAAGAAGCACGAATTCCTATTCCCAACATGGGAGAGTCACGTGAACTGGTCGCTAATGCCAATCAGAACACGAATCGAAGTACATTCTCTAACGGTTTCCTGTTGATGTAAGAAGACACCGGTCAGCGCCTCGGCCTGGTGTAGGGGCCGATCATTGCTGGAGACGCACTTCTTCGTTTTGCATCCTGGGAAGAGCTTGGCCTGGTCGAGCATATCGTACCATACCTGTCTAGCTCTCCAATCTCCGGACGCTATTCTAAATCTTGGCCATGATGAAATTACCGTCTCTTGAAATTACGCGTTGAGATTCGGTCCCGTTATCGGTGGGAAGTCTGGCGCTCAGAGCATGCACCTGGTCCTAGACAGCTGTGCAGACATACAACGACAAGACTTCAAATCAGGCTTACTGGGAGTCTCCTTTGCATGGATGCATAAAGCTGCACACGGACACGGTCTCTGCATAATTTCTTACAAGAGGGTCTTCGATCTCCATTTACAACTTGGCCATCTCCTGCGCAGCGCGGGTCCGGAGATCCTTGCGAAGGATCTTGCCGCTCGGGCTCTTGGGAATGCTGTCGACAAGGACAACGCCGCCGCGGAGCCGCTTCGGGTTGGACACCCGCTCCTTGACCCACTCGGCGATGAAGTCGGGGCTCGCGTTGGCGACAACGTATGCGCGGGGCAGCTCGGTCGCTTGCGCCTCGCTGTAGACGCCGACGACGCCGGCGTCCTTCACGCCGGGGCACTGCAGCAGCAGCGCCTCGAGCTCGGCCGGCGCTACCTGGTAGCCCTTGTATTTGATGAGCTCCTTGACGCGGTCGACAATGTAGATGAAGCCGTCCTCGTCGATGCGCCCGACGTCGCCCGTCTTGAACCAGTCGCCGTGCATGCAGTCCGCTGTCGCCTTCGGGTTGTCGTGGTAGCCCTCCATGAGGGCCGGGGATCGTGCCCAGATCTCACCCTCCTCGCCAGGCGCGACGTCCTTGCCGTCCTTGACGAGCCGCGCCTCCCACGTCGGCAGCAGGCGCCCGACGCAGCTCTTCGGCCCCGTCTCGGCGCCATTGTATCCGATCGCGACGCTCGACTCGGTGAGGCCCCAGCCCTGGCTGATCTCGCAGTGGGGGAACTTGGCCTCGAACGCGTAGCACAGCTCGTCGCTCATTGGCGCCGCGCCGCAGTTGACGCGCGTCAGTCGCACTTCTCCGACGTCGGATTATCAAATACATCTAATATACACTACGCGTCCTCGGGCAAGTCCTGCGCACCGTACACGGCCCACATCAGGCGCGCGTTGATGTCCTCCGCGCCCGTGTCGATGCGGTTCGCCCCGCTCAGGCTCGCGATGACGGCGTCCTTGAGGCCGAGCGAAACCTTGATCCGCTGCCCCGTGGGGTCGACGACGTACTTCTCGAGCGGGTTCCCGGCGATCTGGCGCAGAATATTACGCGCCGCGACGCCGCCCATGCCGTTGCTCATGTGGCCAGCGAGGATCGCCTCCGTGTCCGCCACGTCACCAATTGCGTAGATGTGCGGGAGTCCCTGGATGGCGAGGTGCTCGTCGACGCGCAGGCGGCCCGTTTCCGCGACCGCCGCGGGGTTCAGCGCAGCAATGAACTCGACGTGCGGGCGCGGGCCCGTGCACGCAAGCACGATGTCGCCCTCGTAGGTCTTGCCCTTCTCGGTGACGACCGTCTTCGTCTCGCCGACGAAGCCGGGGTTCTCGGGCCACGTGAGCACGCGGTCGCCGAGCGAGTAGTTGATGCCGAGCTCCCTGAAGCGCTGAATCACCACATCGTGCACCTCGGGGTGGTGGACGGGCAGCAGCTGCTCGCGCGAGTGCAGCAGCGTGACCTCGACATCGGGCGTCGTCTCCTTGATATCGGTCGCGTACTGGATGCCGAGCGCGCCGCCGCCGACGATGATGACGCGCTTCGCCTTCTTGATCTCGTCGCCGTAGTTGGCGAGCCACTCGACGGTGCCGGCCTTGGTGCCGCGGCCGGGCGACTGCTTGCGGCCGATCTCGCCCCAGACGTCGCAGGGCGCGGGCATGCCGCTGCCGAGGGCGTAGACGGCGTAGTCAAACTCGATGGTGCGGATGCGCTCCGGCGGCGCGGCGTCGTCCTTCACATCGTCGTACGAGCCGTCCTTCGGGAGGAGGACCGAGACGCTGTTCGGCGTCATGCCGATGACCAGGCCCTGCAGCATCTCGTGCGACGCAGGATCCGCTGCGCGCTCGGGAATCGTGTCGGGCTCCTTTGCGGGGTCATTGATGCGTCCCTTCGTGAACACCTCGGTGCGGGGGATGAGCGCCTTGGGGCCGTGCTTGGGGATGATGGAGAAGCGCGGGAAGCAGTAGACGTCTGGGGTCAGCGGGGTCTGCGCACCACTCACGGTTGCCGTGCGAGGTGCGGTCGATGGCGACGACACGCCAGCCCTCAGGCAGGCGGCGGGCAAACGTCGCGGCAGCGTGCGCACCGCCGTACGCAACGCCGAGAACGACGACGGTCTTGGGCTGGATGGTCATGTTGGTGATGGGAAAACGCTATGCATCGTGTCAGTTTAGTAGTCTACCGCGGCAACCTCTTGGCATCGGCCGATAACTGCTCCGCGAACGATTTTAGGGTCCGATGGCGGAAGTGCCCCGCCTGCAGCGTTTTCGGACGCATCGCGTTATCAGATACCACTCTCGGCTTTGTCCGAAAATGAAATCGCTCAGAGTCGCAAGCCTTGCAAGGGTATGGCTACATCACAGTTGCCCGAGGCCGACGCCAATGCATGGGAATAAGACTACAGCGTCTGTCTTTCCGGAATCGAACCAGGGCGGTAAGAATGGCCCCGACAGCAGCTGTCCACGGTGCAAAGATGAACATGAACACCGGGTACCAGTGAATGGTTGAGACAAAGAGGCACGTGTAGATAGAGCTAGCGGGCTGGCTGAGATGTGGCGCATACGCGACAACGTACACTAGTAAGCGAGCGCGACTGGCTCGCTCTCATCTCAAGCTCGCAAAGCAGGCCTCGTGCTCGAGCGGGGCGTCGGGGGGCTGCGGCGGCTCGCGGCGCTGCTCGACCCCGGGGACAGCAACTTCAACATTGTCACGCCGTAGATCAGTGCATAGTCAGTAGTCTAAGTATAAGTAAGTGGCTACGAGGTGATGGCGCGGTGGCTTAGCAAGGCGGTGGGGCAGGCCAGTGTCGAGGGTTGGCCTATACGCCAGTGCGGAGCTAAGGCGCGATGGCGCGGGGTCCGGTCTGGACTGCGATGGCGCTGAGTGGCAGCGAAAGTGGCGATGGAGGCTAGAGGAGGCCCGAGGTCCGAGGCCGGAGGAGGCCGGGGCCCAGCGAAGCCAGTCTAGGCGAGAAAAGGATGAAGTCGGTGGCGAAGGTGATGGCGCCTAGACTCAGTGTCCAGGCTGGTGTCGAAGATGCACGTGCCAGGGGTAGTGGCCGCCTAGTGTCGAGGAGGCTGTCGATGGGACCACCCAGTGAGAGGGCAGTGGAGCGTGCCAGGCGAGAGTGGTTGATGTCGAGGGTCCCGAACGGCAGCGGGGAGAGAGGTGGAGGCCCATGTCGAGGATTGTCTGTCGACATGTCGACGGCGGTGGTCCCAGCCAGGCGGTAGAAGAGGATCGTGTGGCCCAGCGATGGCTGTCGATGGGACCAGTCCCAGCTAGCCCAGCTAGTGCCGCTGCCAGACGAGAAGGCAGCGGCGTGGGCGAGAATGCCCCGTGGCTGTCGGGTCCCAGCCAGTGCCGTCAGGTGAGGGCGAGGAGAGGGCGGGGATCCCCGTGGCTGTCACCAGTGCCCATGCCCAGGGGGGCAGCGAGGGCGTGGTAGGAGCGAGGATGGAGAGTGGAGGGGAACGTGAAAGAGTGGAGATGTAGAGTGGAGATGGAGGTAGGGAGGAGAGCGAGGGACGTGAGTGAGAGAGTGAGGGAGCGTGGGAGAGTGGAGGCAGGAGACGGGAGTGAGAGGGAGGGAGGGGAGGAGACGTGAGAGTGGGAGGGAGAGTGAGGGAGCGTGGGAAAGTGGAGGTGGGAAGAGGGAGCGTGGGAGAGTGGAGGTACGGAAGGGAGCGTGGAAAAGTGGAGGTACAACGGGGGAGGGGAGGACTACGGTACAGTGGAGACCACTGGCTGCCCCAGTGCAAGTGTGGCCACACTCGCAAAGGAGCCATCAGAGACACCGTGGGCCAACTGCCGAGCTTGGGCGATCAACTCCAAGCGCAATAGCCAGCGTCACAGCGCTCTGCGAGACAAGCTCGGCGGCACTACAAAGGTCCAGGTCTTGAGGAGCGGTCTTGAGGCGGAGTCGAGAGAGTTTCAGCGGGGAAGAGGAGAAAGGGGCGCAAGGGAACTCACCATGTCGAACTGGCAGCTGGCGAGAACGGCTTGAGGTCTTGAGGAGAGCTGAGGAGAGCTTGAGGGTCAAGAGTCGCACTGGAGCCAAGGGGAAGAAAGGAGCCGAGAGGAGAGAGAGAGGTTCAGCGGGGAAGGGGAGAGTGGAGGCGGAGGACTCACCTGTCGAACGTGCAAAGCTGGGTCGGAGCTTGAAGAGGAAAGCTTGAAGAGGCGAGTCTGACAGCGTCAGAAGGGACAGTGGAGGGGACGCACTACTTGAGAGGCAAGTGGCGAGGTCGAAGTCGAAGCGAAGTCGAAGCGAGGTTGAGTCGAAGTCGAAGCGGAAGCCGAAGGCGAAGCGAAGTCGAAGTCGAAGCGAAGTCGAAGCGAGGTCCAAGTCGAGGCCGAAGTTGAGGTCGAGCAGTCGGGTCGGGCCAGATGTCAGCGGGGAAAAGGGGGGACTCACAGGGTTGCGAAATGAACCGGGCTCGGCATCTAGCGTTAGTCGGGCAGCAGGACGGCATGGTCAGTGGGTCAGTGGGTTAGTAAATGCAGTGTGCACAAGTCGAGTCGAAGTTGAGTTGAGTTGAGGTCGAAGTTGAGTTGAGGTCGAAGTCAAGTCGAAGTCGACTGCCTGCGGGACGGAACTGCGCAACACACGTCTGTGTTACGATAGCCTGCGCCGCACCTACCGGGGGGCCAGCCCGGAACGGTACGACGCAGTCCCAACCGCAGAGCAAGTCGATGGCGAAGTGTTGAGGTCGAGTGGCGAGGTCGAGGTCGGTGGCGAGATCGAGTGGCGAGGTAGCGAGGTTGAGTGGCGTGATGGCGAGCAAGAGTGGCGAGGTGGCGAGGACGGGTGGCGAGGACGGGTGGCGAGGTCGAGGTCGAGTGCCGAGGTCGAGTGTCGAGGGCGAGTGTCGAGGTGGCGAGGTCGAGGTCGAGGTCGATGGCGAGGTCGAGGTCGATAGCGAGGACGACGGTGTTGATGGCGAGGAGGGCGAGAGTTGGTGGCGAGGTGGCGAGGGCGGTGGGTGGCGAGGTCGCTGGGTGGGATGTCAAGTCGTGGGTTGGGAAAAAAGAAAAGAAGTCGCGACGAGGACGGCCTTATAACCTTCACCCCCTTCACTGTCTTCACTGACTTTGTAGAGGGCGCCCAGCAGCGGAAATGGATGATGCATATCTTCTATGGCAGCGGCGACCTCTAAACAAGATCACCGACGGTCACGTGAGGTGGGGTGTGGTCACGTGAGTGGAGGTGGAGGAGAGGGGCCTCTACACTCCCCCCCCTGCGAGGAGCGGTCGTCCCGATCGCGAAAGGGTCGTGGGATGAGGTGCGTCTCAGTTGATGCTGGTGGGGTGGTGAGGCAGAACATGAACTTTGGGGACGGGTTGTGTGGCTATGAGTCGTCTTCGGTGTCGGATTCGTCGTCGTCTTGTTGATCGTCGTCGTCATCCTCCTCCATCTCGGGGTTGGTCTCGGCTGCCGCCATCATGAGTTCTTCTGCGCCGTGGGCGCGCATCAGGGCGGAGTTGAGCCACATGCGCTCCTCCTCACCGTTGGCTTTGTCCACGATGGCTAGCCATTCGCGTGTGCCGTTGGGCAACATGCGGTCGCCGATGACATGGCGGACCTTGTCGTCGGTGGTTGAGTCGGTGCGAGGGGTGTAGTGCCTCACGTTGCTGATGCTGACGCGGTTGTGGAGGAGAACAGATTTCGGAAGAGCCAGTTCGACGACGTTGGGGTGGGGTACAGCTGTCACCGCGAAGGGGCCCCAATAGGCGGGCGCGAACTTCTTGCCCTTCCGCTTCTTCCACTCTGGCTGTTGGTATGCCTTGGAGTTAAGCAAGATCCAGTCGCCTTGCTTGTACGTGCGTGGAGAGTGGCGGGAGTCGTAACATCGCTTCTGCGCCTCCTGTGCTCGAGCGATGGCCTCGCAGGCTTCGGCGCAGTCTGCGTCCATGCGGCTGATGAACTCCCTGATGCGGCCGTCGGCGACGAGATCGACATCCCAGGAGGCGTGGGTGATCGTCGGCAAGCGCCCGGTGTCCATCTCGAAAGGTGTCTTGCCGGTTGAGGCGTGCACGCTCAAGTTGTGTGCCGTCTCCACACGGTAGAGATATTGCAGCCAGGTGGCCCCGTGCTTGTTGATGTAGTGGCGCAGGGCTTCCTTCATTGTCCGAATCACCCGTTCCGTTTGGCCGTCGGTCTGTTGATGGTGGGCGGTCGCGTAGCGGTGGTCCACGCCGAGGAAGCGCATGAGGGCTCTCCAGGCTTTGGCTGTAACCTTGGAGTCACGGTCGGTGACGATGATCCGTGGCATGCCGAAGTGGCGGACAACCGTGTTGAAGAACAGTTGCGCGAGGCCCATGGCCGTGACCTTCTTGTGTGTGGGTGCCGTCACGACACGCTTCGTCAGGCGGTCAACAACGATGAGGGCCGCGTTGAATTTCTCGGGACCGCACTCAGGTAGGCCGAGGACGATGTCGAAGGTGATCATGTCCCAGCGTGCCGAGGGAATAGGGAGGGGGGCGAGAGCGCCTGGGGGCAGTCCTGTGAGGCTCTTCACCCTCTGGCAGCTGTCGCAGCTGGCGATGTAGCGTTCCACGTCGCCTCGGGCGCCCTTCCAGTAGTAACGGTCCGTAAGGGCGAGGTACGTCTTGGTGCGGCCTCTGTGAGCTGCCGTGGCGTTGTCGTGGAACTCGCGGATGACATCCGCTCTCAGGGTGTCCACATCTGGCACGTAGACTGTGTAGTTGCGCCGGTACCCGTTGTGCATCAGCAGCCGGCCCTTGGCGATCGTGTAGGGACCTTGCGTGCTGTGCATGATGGGCGGCCATGTCGATTTGTCTGTCTCGTCGTCGACAGGGGGCTGGTCGTGCTGCTCGAGAATGCGGTCGAAGATCTTCCGGCACTCGGGGTCTCGCAGCTGGCCGTTGTCGATGCGCTCCGTGAGTGAGAAGTTGAGGTCGACGTGCCATGCTGCCATGACGTTCACCTCCTCTGAGTCACGCTGGACTGATCGGCTGAGGTGGTCGACGTGAGGCATACACTTGCCCGCCTTCCAGTGGAAGTGGAACTGGCCCTGGTAGTCGGAGAGCATGAGGCTGGCTCTCATCATGCGGCCGTTGCTGCCATTGTAGTTGGCGAGTTGTTGGATGGCGGCGTGGTCGGATGTGACGTGGACCTCCGCGCCCTCGATGTAGCAGCGCAGCTTGTCGAGAGCCCACGACACGGCGGCGCACTCCAAGTTGGTGGCGCCCATCTTCCTCTCCGCCGCCGTCGTGAGCCGCGAGAGGAAGCAGACGGGTCTCAGGACGCCGTTCTCGTCCTTCTGGGATAGCACGGCTCCGAAACCATCCGCGGAGGCGTCTGTGTCGAGGTAGAACGGCTTGGAGTAATCTGGGTGTGCGAGGACGGCGTTCTCCAGGAGAAGGTTGATGATGCGATTGTAGGTGGCCGTAAGCTCTGGTGTCCAGGACAGGGTGTGCTTCCTGTCTTTCTTGGCCGCTTGCAGGAAGTCCAGCAGAGGTTTGATCTCGCGTGCGAAGTTCTCGACGAAGCGGCGATAGAACGATGCGAAGCCGTTGAACGATTCCAGTTGCGACATCGTTTCTGGTTGACGTTGTCTCCTGACCGCGTCCATGCCTTTCTCGCCCATGGCGATGCCGATGTTCGAGATCTTATGACCCAGAGCATCGACAGAACGCATCGCGACGTAGCTCTTGGCCGGGTCCAAGGTCAGTCCGGCGTCGATGAGACGGGTGAGGGTCCACTCGACATGTTGGCAGTGATCGTCAAACGTCTTGCTGTGGTTGATCACGTCGTCCATGTAAGCGATCACCCATCGCCAGAGGCCGTCGGCGAATGTCAGGTCGATGAGGCGTTGGAAGGCCGCGGGCGCGCCTTTGGCTCCGAAGGGCATCCGCGTTGGCTCCCAGAGGCCGTCTTGTGTTCGAAACGCGAGACGCTTGGCCGCCCGTTCCGTGAGAGGCAGTTGATTGAACGCTTTTTTCAGGTCGAAGGTCGAGAACCACTCCATTCCTTCGAAAGCTGCCAGGATGGAGTCAAGGCGAGGGATGGGCCACTGGTCCCCTTTCGTCACCTTGTTGACCTTCCTCAAGTCGATGCACACGCGGTGCTTCTCACCCTGCTGCACGACGATAACCGGGGAGCTCCATTCGGAAGTGGAGGGGCGGATGAGGCCGTTGTTGAGCATGTTGGTGACTTCTTCCTTGATGATCGCGCGTTTGAACGGACTAGTGAGGTAAGGTGCACTCGTCACTGGTTTCGCGTCGCCCGTGTCGACATCGAAGACCGCCTTGTCAGTCAGACCGATGGGTCGGCTTGGGGTCGAGAAAGCCGCGCGCTTTCTCCAGAGAATGTCCGTGATCCGGGCAAGCTGCTCGGTCGAGAGGGAAGGGTTGATGTGGATCTGGCTCAGAATGTGGAGGAAGTCGTCCTGCTGCTCCCGCTCGGAACGCTGTTGAGGTGCTTCGGAGGTGGAGTGGCAGGAGATGTTGGCGTCGTCCCTCCGGTCGTCGCCATATACGAACTCCACTCGGCCGAGGATCGTGCCGCGTTCAATGCGGACGGGGAAGGGCGAGTAGTTGATGACTTCGCAGGTCGTGTCGTCCTGCTTGCCAGAGATGACGGCTGGCGTGATGCGTAGATTGCCGTTGCCCAGCCGCAGGTTGTCGTTGGGGATGAGCATGAACTGTCGGGACAGTCCGCCGGGGAGCGTAGAGATCGGAATGTGGGCTCCGTGCTTCTGCAGCTCGCGCCACAGCGTCTCGAGTGGATCCGAGTCGGGGTAGTAGTGCAGCAGGCTGCAGAAACGCTTCGGCATACCGGCCAAGATGGCTTTGCCCACCTCCTCGTCCGACCATCGGTCGTAGCCCTCGCAGATGAGATTCGACTTCTCCGTGTAGTAGTCGAGCACAGACTCGTCGAACTGCAGACGGCGGCTGGTGGCCTTCTGTTGAAGAATCCCCTTGTAGTTGAGGTTCAAGTATGTTTTACGAAGGAGCGCTTTCCACTGGTCCCAGGAACTGAGCTCGCGCAGCTTCGCGGCTGAGAGGGTCTGCAGCCACTGGGCTGCCGCGCCGGCCAACATGTACGACATGTACAGGATGATGTCGGCGTCCGTCAGGAAGCCTGTATCGAGAAGACGGTCGACGCCCTTGATGAATACCTCGACGGAGCCGTCTTCCCTCTTCCCGTGAAATTTCGGGAGATGGGACGTGTCGATCTTACGGTAGCGCCGAGGGGCTTCGTCGTAGGACCGCACGATCGCCGCCTGTGTCCCGAGGGTACTGGCGGTAGTCTGCGCCCCCGACTGGCCGAGGGTCTCGATCACGAGGTTGCGGATGAGCTGCTCGAGCGCGGCCTTACTGTCCGACGCCGAGGCTGACACCGAGGGTGACTGGGACTGTTCAGCGTCCGGTTGGGCTGCCGGGTCGTCGCTCGAGGGGCCCTGCTGCTTGTCAAGCGATTGCTCGAGCTTCTCCGGAACGGGGGTGGAGGTTGTCGGCTTCCGGGCGACGGGTGCAGGGAGAAGTGATGTGTCGACTCTGTCTTCCTCGGTCGTGCCTTGGCGGGACTGGCCCGAGGTTTTGTCCGTCTTCTGCGGTCCGGCGTCCAGAGTACCTGCCAGGCGTCGGCATTCGTCGTCGAGAGCCTGGCCGTCGAGTCCTTGAGCCTTCAGGATCATGGCTTTGAGGATTTCGGCGTCGAGGGGCATGTCGTTGGCGGGGCTGCCACGCTTCGACGTCTTCCTGCTCTCGACCTGGAGGATGCGTTCATCGAGCGCGTTCACGATCTCGCGGATCTCGTCCTCGCGCTTCGCCTGCGATTGCTCCATGTCCTGCATCTTCCCCAGCACGAGTTTCTTGTCCGACTCCATACGGTCGAAGATGGCTTGGAGGAAGGGGTGCGTGTCGGTGCTCTCCGTCTCGAGGTTGAGCGGCGGGTCGAGGGATTTGCCGTCATCGTCCGGGGCTCCCTGGCCCTGGCTCTTGCCCGAGTCCTTCTTGAGAGGGGGCACCATGGTCGGTCTGTTCGGAGGTGCCGTCTTCGGGGTACGAGTTATGGGATGGGAGCGGGGTGTGGTGGGTTGGGCGGGTTCTGCGTCCGGGAGAGGGTTTCTGCGTAGGCCTCGACGAACGCCTCTCGTCGGTTCGGATTGAGGGGTGGTTGATTGGGCGGGAATGATGGAGAGGTTGCGGCTTATATACCGCGGGGGGTGGGTGGGAGTCGAAGTGGTTGGAGTGTTTGTTTGTTTGTTGTCTGTAGTGTGGTCGCTAGTGTACGGGAGCTGCTAGTGCTGCTCGCCTTCTCAGCTCACAGCCGCGGAGGTGCGCAGCTGGGATGCCGGTTCCGCGCCGGTGGTCGTTTCGCGCTTCAGTGTCCGGGTGCGTTCCCGCTCCTTTCAGGCCTTCTATCTCGCCGTGCGTGCGCGTGAACGGGTGTCAGTCGTGCGGGTCGTGTCGTCCGTGTGGCTGGCGGTGGTTCACAGTTCGTCGGTTGCCGGTCCTTCCTCCGTTCTTTCTTCGTCCTCCCAGTCGTCCTCCTCGTGTCCTAGACCTCCTCCCTGTCTCCTTGTCGTCTGTGGTGCTGTCCTTGGCGCTGTTGCCGGGTCTTCGCACTTCCCAAGTCGTCCACCAATGTAGAGGGCGCCCAGCAGCGGAAATGGATGATGCATATCTTCTATGGCAGCGGCGACCTCTAAACAAGATCACCGACGGTCACGTGAGGTGGGGTGTGGTCACGTGAGTGGAGGTGGAGGAGAGGGGCCTCTACAGACTTCCCGCATGGGCAGCCGTCCATTGGCTCAGATTAGCCTAGCGCGATCTTATCGTGGCTCATAGCCGCCTCGAGACGTCCTAGCGCGGCTCTATCTTATCGCAGGCGCGCGTTCTTAACCAACTTCACCGACTTCCCTGGATAATGAATGTGCGCCACTGACCACTCGACCCGCTGCACTCTCTCCATAGGCCAGGACCTCGCAGCCTGGCCAAGCACCTCGCAGGCCTCCCGCTCGCAGCCGTCTCCCTTCTCCGGCTTCACCGGCTTCACCAGCTTCCCTGGATGCGCCACAGCACCCAGCTGACTCCGCATCTTATCAGCGCCTCCCTGAATAATCAGGTGATGCCCTGCGGTCAGCTTTGGCGCGGGGGAACATACGTTCATCTGCGTGACGATGATGAGAATGGCCGCGGGCAGACTCAGGTTGCGGTTGGACGGCAGAACTTGAAGGGGTGCAGTCTGAACTAAACCAATTTGTTCCTGCTCTCCGGCATCACGAGACAGTACAGGAGGACCAGCACATGCACTCCGATTGCAACGCGGAGGGGTTACAAAACCGTCAGTCTAGTCTCTGCAAGTCACACGTGTCGTTCATCCAGTCGGCCAGCAGCGTCGCAGACGACGGGCTCAGTCCCGACGGCGAGGGTGCCGTTGATGAGCGGCAACGACGCAGCGTCTCTGGAACTACATCGGACAGGTATGCCGCCATGATCGCGCCGGGCACGCCGCCGAGCGCGCCCTCGACGGGCCGACAACGAGCGGTCAGAGGCCGGCGGCCGTCAGGCGGGGCCATGTGACACCACGAAGAGGCCTCGTTGAAGATCCAACCCAGCTGGCAGATTGCGAGGAGGCCGTCCCCATCTGTCGCTGAGGGGGGACCAGTACGCCGTCGTCGGTGAGCAGGCCGCCGATCGCGCGCCAGCATTTGCAGTCGCGCGGCACACCTGCACGTCCGCGTCGTGCCGGCAAGCCTTGGAGTCAACGGGCGGGCCCTTATCGGCGTAGCAAACGAGATCGACGGTGAGCTGCGGCTGCGTGACGGACGTCAGGCCATCGGCGGTGACGAGCATGAGCGCGTAGCCCAGCATCCAGGCGCACTTGTGTCATTGCTCAGTTGAGGTGCATCTCACCCTGCTCAAGATAATATGATATCAGGAGCAAGTGGATGAAGTATTGGGCTTTGAGCGGCAGGAGGAGTCGGTCCGGGGCCCGACCAGCCAGCCAATCACGTCAGTTAGTGCGACGCTTTCGACATCGCAACACCCGCCCACATCCAGAAAAGGTCGTCGGGCCCCGGGCCCCGCGTGGTGCACATTAAGGCACGAAACTGTTTCTGGCCCCATGCCCGACTTCCTTCCTCGGCGCTTTCTCCGGCCCCACAACCTCGGCGTGAAGCGACCAGACAGCGCTTGCGACGCGCCAGGCTGCGATCTATTTTCGGGCCGGGGCTAAGAGTCTTATCCACGAGGCCGCTCTATCCTCTCGGTACTCCACATCTCGGTCGCTCTTTGCGACCCTCTTATACTCGCGACTCCGCAAGCGGGCTCTCAACGCAACCTGCATGACCAAACATTTTGAACTTAAGCAACTGTGCGTTGGATCGAGTGTCGCGCTGACGATAGTGGATTTCGCGCGCTACCGGAGCGGGACTCGCTCGACGATGCACCCGAGATCCCCCTCGCGCACGCGAGTCTGTGGTCGCGCCTCACCTTCCGGTGGGTGTCGCCGCTCATCACGACCGGCTACCGCCGCCCGCTGCAGGCGACCGACCTCTGGCGCCTGGACGAGAGCCGCGAGAGCGCCGCGCTCGCAGACAAATTCCTCGCCAACCTCGACAGGCGCCAGGCGCGCGCGGAGGAGTGGAACGCCTCCCTGGACAAGGTGGACGCCGGGTGGCGCCGACTCCAGTGGGACGCCCGCGCACTCTGGTCTCTGCCGGAGAAGTACGAGACATACGGCCCGCGCGCGACGCGCGCTGAGCGCCGTGCGACGCTCGAGCGCGAGTGGAGGGAGCACTCGGGACGCAGGCAGGGGAGCCTCGCGTGGGCGCTGACGGACACGTTCCCGTCATTCTGGTGGACGGGGCCGTGGAAGCTCGCAGGCGACCTGTCGATGGCGTTCGCGCCGCTGTTCACCAAGCAGATCATCCGCTACGCGCAGGAGGTCGAGCAGGCGCACTCCCTGGGCCAGCCGTACCCCGCCGTCGGCAGGGGCGTGGGCTTCGCCCTCGGCCTTGTTGCGTTGCGTCTCTTCAGTATCACGTGCATCAATCAGTGGAGCTTCCTGGCCATGCACGACGGCGTCATGATGCGCTCGACGCTCGTGTCGGCGCTGTACAAGCGCGCGTTTGAGCTGAGCGTCGAGGGCCGCGCAAAGATGCCAAACGGCAAGCTGCTGACAATGTTGTCCGCGGACATCTCGCGCATCGAGGGCGCCGTTGAGTTCTTCCACTGCATGTGGGTCGCGCCCATCATCATTGTCGTCACCATCATCATGCTGTGCATGCAGATCGGCGCGAGCGGCCTCATCGGCTTCGTCGTCTTCCTCATCGCCATCCCGTTCTCGACGCTCAACATGAAGTGGTACCTGAGCCTGCGCCAGAAGTCGATCGAGTGGACGGAGAAGCGCACCAAGCTGCTCGCCGAGCTCCTCGGCAACATGCCCGTCATCAAGATGTTCACGTACGAGCTGCCGTTCCTGTCGCAGCTCAGCGGGTACCGCGCCAAGGAGATGGGCTACCTCCGGTACCTGCTGTACACGCGCTCGCTGAACGAGACGATCACGCTGAACCTGCCGCTGATCGCGTCGGTGCTGTCGTTCGTGGTGTTCTCGCGGCTCGGGAACAAGTTCGATCCCGCGCTCGTCTTCACGGCACTGCAGTACTTCAACGGCCTGCGCCCGACGCTGAACCAGATCCCCCGGTCGCTGTCGCTCTGTGCGGACGGCATGAACGCCCTGAAGCGCATGTCCGAGTTCTTCGAGGCGGACACGCGGCGCGAGCGCCCGGAGGTCGACGAGTCGCTCGACGTCGCCGTGCGTGCGCACGCGACCTTTGACTGGCCCGAGTTCTCCGTCCGCGCCGACCTCGACATCCCCCGCGGCCAGCTGACCGCGATCGTCGGCCCCGTCGGCAGCGGCAAGAGCAGCCTGCTCTCCGGCCTACTCGGCGACATGAAGACGACGGGCTCGGTCGCTCTCGGCGGCCGCGTCGGGTACTGCCCGCAGGAGGCGTGGATACAGAATGCCACGATCCGCGACAACATTCTCTTCGGCCAGCCGTGGGACGAGGACAGGTACTGGAAGGTCGTCGAGAAGGCGCAGCTGCGCCGCGACTTTGACCTGCTCGCTGCGCGCGACATGACGGAGATCGGCGAGAAGGGCATCAACTTGTCCGGCGGGCAGAAGCAGCGTATCAACATTGCACGGGCCCTGTACTTCGACGCGGACATTATTCTCATGGACGACCCGCTCTCGGCCGTCGACGCGCACGTCGGCACCGCTCTGTTCAACGGCGCCATCCTCGACCTGAAGCGGCAGGGCAAGACGGTGCTGCTCGTGACGCACGCGCTGCACTTCCTCCCGCAGGTGGACTACATCATCACGCTCGACCAGGGCAAGGTGGTGCAGCAGGGCAGCTTCACCGACATGCACGGGCCGTTCCAGGAGCTGATGCAGCAGTTCGGCGGTTCCAAGGACAAGACGGCCGACAAGGTCGGCTCCGCGGACATTGTCGAGGAGAAGAAGATTGTCGCGGAGCCCGCCCCCGAGGGCGACGGCAAGCTGATGACCGAGGAGGAGCGCAAGACGGGCTCGGTCGGCCTGAGTGTGTACCTGGCGTACCTCAGATTCGGCCCCAGCTGGATCGTGCTCGCGGCTGTGTTCGCCGCGTTCATGACGGGGCTCAACGTCCTGTCGACCGTGTGGCTCACCTTCTGGTCCGAGGACAAGTTCCGCGAGGCGGGCTCGTTCTACCAGGGCATCTATGCCGTGCTCGGCCTGGTGTCGTCCATTTGCACGCTCTTCACGGGCATGGCCATGACGGCGAATGCTGTGCGCGCCTCGCGCGGGTTGTATGACGGTGCGCTGCGGCGCGTCTTCTTCTCGCCCACGAGCTTCTTTGACACGACGCCGCTCGGCCGCGTCCTCGGCGTGTTCGGCAAGGACGTCGACTCGCTCGACAACGTCGTCCCCGAGTGGGTCCGCGGTACGCTGCTCCTGCTCGCGGGCATGGTCGGCTCGATCGCCATCATCAGCGTCAACTTCCCGTACTTCCTTGCCGTAATGGCGGGCATCTCGGTCGCGTACGCGATGTACGCGCTCTACTACCGCCGCACGGCGCGCGAGCTGAAGCGGATCGACTCGATGCTGCGGTCCTCGCACTACGCGCACTTTTCCGAGAGCATGGGCGGCATGTCGACCGTGCGCGCCTACGGCGAGGACTCGCGGTTCTGTGCGGAGAATGCGCGCCGCCTCGACATCCAGAACCGCGCCTTCCTGATGACGTACGCCAACATGATCTGGCTCGAGACGCGCCTCGGCTGGCTCGGCATCGCCCTCGTGCTCGTCGTCGCCCTGCTCTGCGTCTTCGCCGGCGGCCGCACGATCAATGCCGCGCAGATCGGCATGTGCCTCACCTTCATGAGCTCCATCTCCGGATCGCTGCAGGGCCTCGTGCACTGCTCCATCGAGATCGAGCAGAGCATGAACTCGGTCGAGCGCATCAAGCACTACTGCGAGCTGCCGCAGGAGGCGGCGTACGAGGGCGGCCCCGCTGCGTGGCCGACGGAGGGAGGCATCGAGTTCAACAGGGCGGTCATGGCGTACCGCCCCGGTCTCCCCGCCGTGCTAAAGGGCGTCTCGCTCGCGGTGCAGCCGGGTGAGCGCGTCGGCATCGTTGGCCGCACCGGCGCCGGCAAGACGTCGATCACGGTCGCGCTATTCCGCCTCGCCGAGCTCATGAGCGGCAGCATCACGATTGACGGCGTCAACACGTCGAAGGTCGGCCTTCGCACGCTGCGCGCGGCGGTCAGCATCATTCCCCAGGACCCCGTCCTGTTCAGCGGCACGCTGCGCTCAAACCTGGACCCCTTCGAGCAGCACGACGACAGCGAGCTGCACGACGCACTGGAGCGCGCGGGCCTGAGCGGGCGATTCGCGCTCGACGCCAATATTGACACGGGCGGCTCGAACCTGAGCATCGGCGAGCGCTCGCTCGTCAGTCTCGCGCGCGCGTTCGTCAAGCGCGCCCCGATCACCGTGCTCGACGAGGCCACCGCAGCCGTCGACCTCGCGACAGACTTGAAGATCCAGCACGCGATCCGCGCCGAGTGCAGGCGGACGAAGCAGACGCTGCTCGGCATCGCCCACCGCCTGCGCACCGTCATCGGCTGGGACAAGATCCTGGTCATGGACGCGGGCGAGGTCGCCGAGTATGCGTCGCCCCTCGAGCTGTTCGACGCGGGAGGCATCTTCCGCAGCATGTGCGAGCAGTCGGACATCTCGCGTGCCGAGATCGTGCGCGCTCAGGAGGAGGACAAATAGACTCAATTAAGTACGGTATTATTAAATGCAGACTTAGCTACAGCTTGCTCCGGGGCGGGTCCCACCAGGTGCTCTCGCCCAGCCTCAGATCCGTGTCCGTCATCTTGATCGCCATCGCCCACCGTCCGGCGCCGGGGATGAAGTTGCCGCCGTCGGCCTGGCGGAGATCCATCCAGCCGAGCTTGGTCGCGCTCGAGTACTGGTACGGCGTGGACGAGCACCACTTGTCGGTACCGGCGAGCTCAGACTTGGCGGCGTCCTCGCCGTGCTCGCGTGCAGCCGCTAGCATCGCCTCCGTTGCCTCCGACGGCCCCGCTGGCAGCGGCGGCTGCGCAATCTCGAGGTCGATCCCGAGCCATCCGTACGCGCGCGTGCTCATCGGCATCGCCGGGACGTAGCGCATGGGCTGGAACCGCGTCTGGAACACTGGCGTCTCGGAAGGCTCCGCGAGCGGGTACACCTTGCAGTCGGCCGATCCGTCTGCCTGCTCCTGGAAGTCGAATCGTGCAAGGTGCTTTGGAATGTTCCAGTCTGATGTTAGCGGGAACTATGAGCGACACACTCGTTCGGCCGTTCCAGGTCGTGTTGCGCTGGCTGACGTAGATGCGCGTGATGCGCAGTTTGCTCTTCTTGACGCGGCGCCCGTTGCTGTCGACCTCGAAGCCGAACTTGCCCGGGAGAAGCATCATTTCGTCGTAAGATCCAACCGGCGTGTCCTTGTACCGCACGAGCATGACGGTCGCCAAGCCTCCCTCGGGCTTGCCCGAGTCTGTAGCGAAGGGCGCGTCCCTCTCGAGCGGGGCGTACGCTGCCTCGTTGAAGCTTGGGGAGGACGCCTGCGAGGCCGAGACCCAGAATACAGCCGAGTACACAGTGGCGCGGCACGCCCAGGGCGCGGGGGCCGAGGTGATGGCGGCGTTGTCGGTGGACATGCGCTGGAATGGAACAGGGAATGGGTTGCGCGCGGGAAACGTAGAGCGTCGTTGTGTAGGCTGGGCGATTGACGATGAGCTGTGTAGTCTGCAGAGGAGATGAGAATACAGAGACGATGTTGACTGCGAAGACGCGGGGCCCGGCAACTTCAGCCGGGTGCCTGAGATCCACGCCAAGCCCTGAGCCCCACGGGACCTCCACCTCCACCTCCACCGGGGACTTCGGCACACTTTCTGGAAACCTCAACACGTTCGTTCTCACCCCGATCTTTCCATGCTCACCATCCACACAACGAACTCCTCACTAACGGCTGCGACAATGAAGACACAAGCGCCTTCCTCAAATATTTCCAGCAACAGACGTGTACTTTGTCCGAGAATGATGTCCAGAGGGCCAGCCCAACCTGCTGAGGGTCTCGACGTGAAGAGCAGGGACAATTTGGGCGTGTCGATACGGACACATGCGGTCTCAGTTGTTGCTGAAGCTGACGGCATCCCAGAGCCTTATTGGGGAGCTAAAACTCACAGACAACTATGCGCCCAGCCGCTCCGCGACCGCCGTCGGTCCCGGCCCGCCCCACCGTCATCAACACACGCGGGCGTTTGTCGATTCCTTGGGGACGGCTAAAGTCTGCTCTGCGTTGTCTGTGACGTAGAGAAGGCCTCTCTAGACTCATACTTGTGTTGTCCGGACGTTCAGCGCTTACCTGGACCGCTGGGGCAGCGTCAAGTGGTATAAGACGGGCGGCGAGACTCGACTGACTCCACTCCCATTCACGCTCGTCTCTCACCATGACCGACGGCACCAAGCCTCTCAAGAGTGGCATCGGCCACCTCAAGAACAACGCGCACCCCCTCTGGTGGCGCGATCCCGGCCTCCGCAAGCTCACCATCGGCATTCTCGTCGGCTTTTGTGGCAGTGTCCAGACTGGTATGTCGAGCCCTTCGCACCCCTTTTCCCGGCTTTTCTGACGGTTCAGGCTACGATGGCGCACTGATTGCTGGCCTGCTGGCCAACCCGCTCTTCTGGATTGCCCTCGGGGCCCCGACCACCGCGAAACTCGGCCTCATCGTCGCGTCCCAGACCATCGGCTCCCTCCCCGGCCTCATCCCCGCCGCCATCCTCGCGGACCGCCTCGGGCGCCGCCGTGCCATGGCCATCGGCTATCTAATCTTGATAGCCGGCGCCATGACCCTCGGCTTTGCAGGAATTCAGGGTCCGTGGTACATTTTCGGAGGCAGAATCATCGTCGGTTTCGGATCCGTTTTCACCACCATCGCCGGAGCTCCCTACACCGCCGAAATCGCTCATCCTCGCAATCGTCCAGAGACAACTGCTCTTATTCAGACGTGCTTTTACGTGGGCTCAATTTTAGCGGCCTGGGTAGCTTTCGAAATTTTGATCCCGAAATTGGTCAATTCCTGAGCCTAAATCTGGTTCCGCCGATCTGGACCCTGACTATCACGTGGACTGCACGATGCATTCCGGTTTCCCACGGTGCATCCAGAGAGCAACTCAGCCCAGCCATTGTGGTGGCCATTCATCCGTCACTCAGCATGCAGAGGTGCGGTCTGACAAATGGCCGTGGCTTGCGAGTAGTCCGGGTCGTCGTGCCAGACTCGAGGTCTCCCACGGGGATATGAAATCTCGGTGACTTGATGACTTGGTGATGGCCTGCTCTGGATAACGGCAGGAGCAGGGGTCGGGGTTGGAGGAGACTCTTGCTAGTTTCGAGGTTTCCCACGGTCACCGGCAGCCCGACACCATGCCTAAGGGAGAGGTTTTCGCACGATGGCTACGCGGCGACCACCGACTCGTTCCGTACGCGTCTATGTCCCCCGGTCTCTCAAGCGCAGGGCGAAGCACTGGGATAACGAAAGTTGTTCGCATAGGGGCAAGGCAGTTTTCCATCGGAGGGCGACGCATCAATGCATTACGACGTCGGGCACTCGCTAGTTGTCGCAGTGCCGGCCACGCCACGGCAACACGACGCAGCTTGCACATTGCGCATGGCGTACATCGTCGGACCGGGCAGCCCGACCCGCATCGTCAGGTTCGTGGCTTCCCACGGTCGTCTTTCGGCAGGAGCGATGGCAGGCTCAAGCGGGACGACCCCGTACTTAACACCAGACCGACGCGGAGCAGGGTACTTTTAAACATGTAAGTTCGTCATTAGATGATGTCCCAAAGGCCAATAAAAAGTTCCCAAGTACGTTGCATGCATGGGTTTCTACTGCTTGCGAAATGGGAAAGGTGACAGGATGGAAACGGTAGGACATCGTGGTTTTCTGTGGACCAACTGAGGGCAAGCCCTGAGTGCAAATCTGATTCCGTGCTCAGCTACCCGAAGTGCACGTGATTCACACGTGCACGGTACTCTCCCGCCCTAGGGAGTTTCCCACGAGACACCACAGATGATCACGACAGACCAGGCGAGAACGATCAACAACGTCAGTCATTGATCGACAATCCAACAACCGGCACAATTCCGTCACATCGCGCTCGAGCATCGCATTCCGCATAAACTCTAGCGCAGCAGGGCGGCTCGTACGAGGGACACGATTTCGAAGAAGGTCCACATCGCGCGGCCAGATGGCCGCCATCCGTCTTCCTCGTCGTCTGAGCCAACCCCACAAGCAGGTGGAGGTGAGTCAACCAGCGATGACCTGTACTGATGTCAGAGGGTTCCGCCTACATCACCATTCTGCCTGCACGGCATCACCCGAGCGCACTGAAGCCGCTCACCATGGATTGCCCGCCTACCCGCTAGGAGCGGAGAGCGACGTCCTTCCTCGGCTTAATCTTACCACTCGTCCGCCGAATCCCGCTCTCTCGCGTCCGCATTCACGCCCCGCTCGCACCACTCGGCCGCCTGCGCCGGGCGATCGCACAGGCCTCGCAGAAGGCCCGCCAATTGGGTGGCAAACCCATACTCAAGAAGCACACCCGCCCCCCTGCACCCACCCCTGTCGAGAATATCTGTTCCTCCGACGTCGGCCCCGACAAGACCAAAGTCGCGGGGTCCGGCCCCGCACAAGAGGCACGCACCGCTGCCGCCGAGCATGACGTCGCCGAGCTTGAGAAACGAGCCGCTGCCGCCGAGCATGATGTCGCCGAGCTTGAGAAACGAGCCGTTGCCGCCGAGCGTGAAGTCGCCAAGCTTCAGAATCGAGCCGCTGCCGCCCAGCGTGATGTTGCTGCGGCCGCCGCCCGTGCGGAAGGCGCTCAACAAGCGTACGTCAAGGTCGTCGACCGTCTCTTACAGGCCGAGGCCGCCGTCGTCGCTGCCTCAGCAAGAGCTGTAGCCGCGGAGGGACGGGCGAGGGAGGCGGAACGTGCGGGAAACGACATTGCACGGCAGCTACCACTCGTTCAGCGCGACTTGCACCATGCCCAAGCGGAAGTCGCTTCCGAACGCGCGTACGCCGACCAGACGCTGGAGAAGCACAACGAGCAGCAGGCGGAGCTGCGTCGCATCATCGACGCCTGGGCAGAGCGTGAGCGAGCTCTGACTTATGGCGTCGCGGTACCATTGCTCCCTACGAGCCGGCCCAAGCGCCAGAAGAAGATCAAGACACCGTCGCGCGGACTGCACGTTGTGCGTGCTGACCCTGAGCCTGCTCCCCCTACCGCCTCCGCAGCCACCTCAGCATCCATCTCCGCTTCCACCCCCGCTTCCGCACGCGCTAATTCGTCCGCCGCCGCCATCCCTGCCGCGGCCTCGCGCGGTAGCGAACGTCTCTCCTCGTCACCCGGACCACCGTCTCAACCCGCCGGCACCGGTAGCGCACGTCAACGCCGGCTCCGGACCCCCACCCGCATTCAGCCTGATCGCCAAGCCCGATCCAGCAAGAAGTAAGCCCCTTCAGTACACGCCGTATTAAATGAATTTTTGTGATTAAGCTTGCCATTGACTCTGGTGAATGTACAAGGCGTCGAGAGGGCGCTGAGATTTCGAGCCATCGATGGACGTTTGGCTTACTTCGAACACACAGTTGTTGCACAAAGTTTATTGGCAAGCCCGAAACGGAGCGGGGGTGTGGAGTAGCCCAGGTGCCCCTTGTTGGTTATGCAGGGAGGCGTCTGCGATGGCGAAACTGAGCATTCGGTCATACAAAAGTCCGGATGCCTTACTCCGAGGGCGAAATGCAGTCTCCACCGCCTATCTGATGCACATCAAACTCCTCGTCCGGCCCACGGCCAACTGACTACAGATGCAGCAGTGGCATGGCAAGCTCGAACGCGCCTCGCTCTGCCTTGGGTCTGGTAGCCCAGAGACGCGGGACACATCATTGCAGCGCGCGCGGTTAGGAAAGCGGCATGCACTGCATGAGTTGTATGGTGCATTTGCGAAGCGCCCGTGCGCCATTCACTGCGGCTATCACCGTCCTCGTCCTCGGCGACGGCCTCATCATCGTCGCCGGCGTCGTCCTCGACCCAGCGTCCGCTTCAGTGTCCGAGTCGGAGTCGTCCGAATCCACTAGGAAAGAGGCGTCCAGGTCCGCCTCAGCGTCGCTACCCTCGTTTGATCAAGGCCGATTACGCCTTGGAAACAGAATGCACAGGCTTACGCAGCGCCTGGCCTAGGTTGTTGGACTGGGAAGCTCGGCCTATGCGTCAGAGGTCGAGTCTAGCAGATTCGCAGTTTCCCACGGTCATCTTTCGGCGGGTATGCAGCAACTTGGCGTAACAGTGTAGAGATTCACGGTCGACCTGTATGTTAAATGTCTATGGCCGGTCAATGAGAAGCTCCCAAACCCCAACTTGCATGCATCAGTTCCCGGCCTACACCCATATTATGTTACAGCACGCAGGAGATTGAACAAAAAAGTGTGTCTGCGAACGTCGACAGGTTGCAGACGTTCGAATACCGCGGCGTTGTGTGACTGTACAGTAGGACAAGTTTGACCAATGTTTAGACTGCACACCTGCACCGAGCGTCCGAGCTGGTGTTCGAAAGCCGGGGCTGAATCCCACTCGACACACGTCAGCCTCAGCGCGCCCCGATCAAGAATTTCCACCAAGGGGGCTGCTTAAGCATGGTCGATTTTTTACACCGATTCAGTTCATCTCGACATACTCATGCATGAAGTGGCTTGGGAAGACATTTCCCAGCGGTCTCCATGCCCTGTCTGGAGGGGTATAACGGCAACCCCTGCGTACACATCGACGAGGTGATAAGATCCAATGACAATCCCGGAGCTTTCCATGACACTTGTCACAACATGCCCGTCACCCAAAGGGGATGGCGCTTGAAATATGAACAACTGCTTTACATCTGGCTGCGAGGTCTTGTACAGGGCATGCTATTTGTTCGTTTCCAACTCTTCCGTCTTCTCGTGCTACTCGACGAGGACTCCTCCTTCTGATCCTTCTACTTCTTCTTCTTCTCCCTTTTCTTGGCAGGCATCATCCATCCCGCGAAAGTGTGGACCGTCGGGCGTTCGGGAAGGTTCAGCTGGAGCTTCTCCTCGATCTCGTCCAGACTAGAGAAGCTCAAATCGTCCAGGTCGTACAGCCTGGAGCTCGCTCCGTGGAGCTCTGTGAGGTGACACAGGACGAGATGATCGGCGACGGCGAGCTCGTCGTCGAAAACAAGCCCGAGGGCGCGGCAGATGGCGTCGGGGCACTGCAGCCCTTGCTCGTGGTACATGATGGGCGGCATGAACAGGATCATGTCGCGCTTCACACCCTTGCGCCCTTTCCCCTGCCCCTTACCAGACCCCTCCCCCTTTTTCTTCGATGCCTTCGCGGTCTTAACCAACCACCCCGGCCATGGGGTTGGGTGTCGCTTTGACCTTGCCCTTCCCCTTAGCGTTAGGCTTGAGCTGGGACGCAGTCTCGGCGTCAGACTCAGACTCGGGCTCGAAAGCAGAGCCGGAGTCGGATGCTTGCTCATCTGAGGACTCATTCTTAGACGCAAGGGCGGTGTGGGTGTTGGATGGCGCGGATGACGAGCCCACAGGCGTGGGCTGAGACTTGGAGTGAGACGCTGCCCTGGACCCCATCGAAGCTGCCGACTCGGACTGGGCTGCCTGGCTGGTTTGCGACAGGCGTCCACTGCGGCGCGGTGCGGTCACAGTGCCTGGTGCAATCGCCTGGTGCCGCTTCCTCGGAGGCTCGTATCCGTCTTCGGTCAGCTCGACTTGCACAGGGCAGCTTACCGTCTGAATCAGGTGGTCCAGCCGACGCCTCGCCGTCGGTGTCGTTCCCGGCGTCAACGTCGCCCAGGTCAGGTGAGCCGTTGTGCGGCGTGTCGCTGATATCGTCTTGCAAGGGGTCTACTGCGAGACTTGGACCGGCCTCATCATCTGAGTCCATGTCGATGTCGCCGTCGCCTCCGGCCGCGGGTGCAGTGCTCGAGGCCCCATGGAAGGCGTCGTGTGCTGCCTTGTACTGCCGGTACATACGGCACGCCGCGAACTGCGCGAGAAGGTGGTGCAGGACGTGTTCGCGGCGCGAAGTCGCAATGAAGCTCAAAGGCGTAGCTCGCGTGGTCGAGTCGGAGTAATGGTCATTGATGCAGATTATGCAGAATCCGTCACAGCGGCGGCCGTCGTCGGCATCGCGCAGACAGTAACGGACATCGACGTTTCCGTTGCCCGAGTACGTATCCGCGTCCGGCGTGCGCGTCAACGACGTGAGGTCCTTGCGGAGTCCAAACTTGACGGGTTTCGAAGGCACCGCAAACAGGCTGTCGAGCAGGAACTTGGCATACAGTTGCTGTTCACGAGGATCCACGTGGTAGCGTTCGTCGGAGAGCCAGTAGATCGCTGTGAAGCGAGCAACACCCTGGTCCCACACGCCCTTGGCCACGTCCTTCTGCAGGCGGGCTTGTTCCGAGGCGGGTGCGGTTTGAGGAAGATACACGTCGTGCTCAAGCAGCAAATGCTCCTTCAGCAGTCTGGCGCTATCGAAATCTTGGTCACAGACGCAACGGATCGGTCGCCGTCGCTTGATCACGCTCTTCAGGATCTGGTAGACATTCTGATCCGTGGAGGCCCATCTGTTGCCCTTAGGGCCGCGCGGCTCGGGGAATGGGATGTCTGTAGACTTGTACCGCGAGAGCAGCGTTGGCGCCGCCATCGCGATGGCGTGCGCGGCTTCGCACTTGTGCACGTGCGTCGCGTAACGGAGGTTGTCATCCCAGTGTTTGCCACCGGGAAGCTGCACGCCGCATCGACGACATTGTCCACTCGACGGGGAATGGCCAGGCCGGAGGATCCTTGTACCGCGAGAGTCTTGGAGCCTCTCGACGGCTTCGACACCGAGCCGTATGACCTCGGCGATATCGCTCTCGCCGTCGAAGAGAGACTCGCGCCACGCGCGCAATGGCTCAAAATGCGAGGGTGGTCCGGAGGCTGGAACAAGACCGAGCGCCTGGGCGTCGGGGGGCTGGGGCACAGACAGCGGCTCCTGGTCGAGTTCCAGATCGAGGTCGTCGGGGGCCTGGGGCACAGACAGCGGCTCCTGGTCGAGTTCCAGATCGAGGTCGTCGGGACTCACGACACTGTGAATGAAGTCGCCCAGGTCGCCTACCGTGTCGATGTCGATCGAACCGAGAACGTCCTCTGTCGCATCGATGTCAAACTCTACCGCTTCCCCGTCCGCCGGAAGATTGTCGATCGCGTTGTACTCGTCGGCTTCGGGCGAGGAGCCATTGAGCTCCTCAATCTTGTTCTTGTACAGCCTCCGGTAATTCGAATCCAGCCTCCCCCATAGCTTCTTCATATCATTCTTGACCTTTGAAGGCCAGCGCGACATGTCGTTGCCGTAGCGGTTACGGGCACGGGTGCGACCGCGGCTGATCTTGCTCTTGATGGCTTCGACTGTAAGGGTTAGAGCGTTAAGAGGAAGACACCCACGATCTGGATGCTGGAGAATTTCACATCGATGAGCCGCGGAGAGCGCTATAGTCGCTGACGGGTTCGCCTTGAGAACGTGGGGATGAAGCGAGATGGTAGCAATCAGCTGGTCCGTCGTCGACTCAGAGCCCTGCACTGCGGCTTGCACGTCCGCTGTCCTGTTCAGTCAGCGCTGTTCACACTCTCACGCTCACGGGGCCATCTTCATGTACCCTTCGGTCACGGCGCCGTCCAGCATGGAGTGGCCCAGCTGCATGGCTACACTTGACAATGGTGCTCCTGGATGTCAGCGTTTCCAACTCGTTAAGCCTTACCCTTCAACCTCATCCAGAACGCCAAGAGGTGACGGAACGAGTGCAGGCCCAGGGGATGGGTAAACCCAATGACCCGGGACAATCTAGCAAGCCATCTCGACATGCCCGACGTTGTGTACGGCTCGCCATTGATGTTGCGGAAGATGACCTTGTCCCCGTTGGGCCCGTTAAACGCCACGGTGCGGTCGCCCGCGCTGCCGGCCAGGAAGGCAGGGGCTAGAATCTCCTCAACGGTGAATGGCAGCACGCCATCCAACTGAGCAAGCGTCAGGAAGTGGGTGACTGGGCACCGCCACCGTTCGGGCGTCTCTCGCAGGGGGAGGACCGAGTCCTTGGTAGTCTTCGTCTTCGAACGGGGGGGTTTGTATTGCAGCGACAGGCTGTTTCGTCCTTCCTCACTCGGACCTACAACGAGCACAAAGCACGAGTACGTCATCGCCGGCAGGTCGTCGGTGTAGCTTTTCGCCATATGGGCCGCCCCCCTGGTGCCCATCTGGATCTCGATCGACATGAAGAGCATGAGGATCGGCTTACTTCTTGGCGCCTTCATTCCGGTCAAAGGGGAGGTCGTGGCCCTTGCTAGAGCGAGGAGGCCGCCCGGGTCGGTGATGTATCGGATTTGCTTTGCGTCCGTTAGTGTGCCGTCTTCTAGAAGCTTGCGCAAGTGGGCGCGAAGAGTTCGTCCCGCTTCTTCCTCAAACTTCTTGGCGCGTCCGAGGAAAAATAGATGGTGTCTGAAGGCGAATATGAAGACGCGGACACTTGCAATCGATGGCCTGGTATCGCGCTCGGCACCCTTGGGCATCGTATTCATGGATCCGATAATGAAGTTCGCAAAACGGCAGAGTGTATCACCGTCTAGGTCGGGCCAATTGGGTTTAGCTATGTCCTCTGGTGACTGGGGGGCGCCGGGGATCGTGTCCAGTTTGTTGTCTCGTTTAGCGGCAGAGTGGAAGTCCCTCTAGAAGTCCCACGCTCGGGCGCGCTGTTGCTGGAAGCCCAGGCCCCCAGGCTTGCGTGCCTGCTTCAGATCATCTTCGGCAGAGTTCTGGTCGTCCATCTGCTGAAGGGTGGTGTTCCAGTCAGGAGCAACTGGAACGTCCTCCTCATCATCGTCCTCGCCGAACTCGTCGTCATCCATGTCATCATCGATCAAACCATCGGTGAAAAAGTAGGAGGGGTCCTTCATGGCAGGCTCGACGAGGAGTTCCGTAATTCCTGCGAGATAGTCAGCACTGTCAGCTGTGACGACTCACGATCGACATGCGTGAGAGGGACTGATCTGGACACCGGCTGGTGGAGTGGCGGGGCAGAAGTACGGTACAGGGCCTTGCAGCTGTGCTTGCAGTGCCGACTCCGAGTATTGACGGGGGTGCGTGATAGATGCGCTGGCTAAAGGCAGCCTCGAGGAGAGTGGAGTTGGAGGATGGGAAGTGAGAGGGAAGGGGGAAGGGTGGCAAACGGCAGATGTCAACGTTGTTTACGTCAAACGTCGTGAGCCGTCAGAGAGCCAGCTCAACCCAGAATGCAAGGGCGCAAGGGTTGCTTCCGACACTATTGTGCGGCTATATGCGGCCGACGGCCGACGAGGGATGCGCCCTGTCCGGGCCAAAGTGCACCAAACCCGATCAGTGCTGCTCGCGCCCGCTGCTGGCTGCTGGAGTGCTCGAGAGCCTACAAATCCACTGCTCTACCTCCACGATCAAGCCGAACAGTTCTATACTCGCTGACCACTCACTTTGCCGGTCTGTCACTGGAGTCATTTGTACACTTTCCACAATTCTCGGTGCCGCCGGTGTCGATACTGGGGGCCAGACAAATGCAAAGATCAACCGTATCAACAGGACAGCAACTGTATCCGATATGGGCAACCGATAACCACAAGCGCACAAGCAGTCTGGCTGAGATCTGGAGGTTGGGAGGAGAGGAGACTCCGTACTTGTCACCCCAAGCCTCCTCCGTGATACTCTTTTTCCTTTTGGAACTGGTACTCCTAGTGCTGGTACCACTGGTAAACTCGGGGTGCCACCTGAAACGAAAGTTGCAAGTTAGTCCGAGGAAATGCCGCAACCGGGTGAGTCAACTCCTGTCAGTTTGGTCAGACTGCGCAACGCCAATGATCCATGGAGGAAGGTCAATGTCACGTTTGCGTTACCACACTTGCACACTCCTCTCCACCGCCCTTCTCGACGAGTTCCCCTCCGGCGCCCGGCATGGACCCCTCTGGGCACGCTGCCTCATCCGACGGCGAGGGAATTTTCTCCTCACCAGTCGTCACGCCCCCTGGCACGCCCAAACGAGACAAGAGGCGCAAGCTCAATGGTGGCGTGCAGCACATCATCGACAGCCTGGGCACACCGCTCAACATCGCCCCTTCTCTGCGCGTGCAGCAGAACTGCCGCCGCGTCCGCAACGTGTTCCATCAGATGATCGAGAAGCAGCGCCAGTACGGTTACCAGTTCGTTGTTGGGTCGAAGATTGTTCAAGACTGGCAAGACGCCACCTCCCCCGAGACAGCCGATTGGGACTTGCGGCAGATCAAGCCCCTCCTCACGTTCTACGCTGCCTCCGCGAAGTCCAACACCAAGGGCGTCAAGATCCAGGCATCTTCGCTAGACCGCTTTCTGGACAACGTCGCCTGCGCCTACCGCCTTTCTCACGGCAAGCCCCTTCTCTCCAGTCCCAAGCTTGTCGACGACGTTCCAGAGGTATTGAAGGAGATCAAGCAGCAATTTCAGCTTGTCGACCGCCCCGTTCAGCGCGCCCTGCTCGACGTCGAGAGCATTCTGAGCCTGTCCGCTGGCCTCGTCGCCATCGACTCCGAGAAGAGGAGCCGCCTCTCAACAGTGACCTACTCAGCAATGGCCGCCAACGCCGGTCTCCGGTGCTCTTCCCTGCTGCGCGCCCGTGGCAAATGGGTGGATCTCCCAGAGATCAAGCGAGGGGCGCGCTGGCGCAACATTCAGCTGTGGGCTGTTCCTGGCAGTAAGACGCGCAATGACATCACCGTCTGGTATACGCCCCCGCACGGGAAGTCCCGACTTTATCGCAATATGTCCTATCCTTTCCGCACAGGCCAGTCTCTTGCAATGTCGGTCGGCCATCTTCTGCTTGTCGCAGCTCGCCATAACGGAGCGATCGTTCGTGACCTGGAAGACTTCCTGCACCCATCGTACCTGAAGAAGGGCCAGCCGACCCCCATCCCACTCAACCCCGCTTGGTAAGACCCGGGTTTAACATGGCTGACCATCAGGCACAGCTCGTTTGTGTTTCTCCACCGTGGCCGCTCAATGTCACCCGGCATCTTGAACACACGCCTGAGGCAAGCCTCCATAGGACTTGGGTTTTCGAGCATCGTGACCAGCCACTGTTTTCGTTGGATGGTGGCACAACACCTCTTCGCTAGGTGTGCGTTACATCGTCGTGAATGGCTCTGCTGACCCCAGATAAAGATATAGATATAGTGAAACAAGCTCTGGGTCACGTTAACCCAGAGACGACAAGACGGTACCTGGGGCACTCTCTGTGAGTTTGAATGTCGAGGTGTGCTTACCGGCCAGCCCGCATGCCTCTGGCTCGCATGCTCTGTTCGACGACCGCCAGGGAACCGAGTCCAGCAAGGTCGTTGGAAAGGCAGAGCGGCCTCACGCGAACGCTCCGCGCAGCGTCACCGACGACGAGGTCGAGAAGATCCTGAAATCAAAGAAGGGTGAGCAGGGAATTAATTTGACAGCTCACTCCAGTCGTCTCCCTCCTGAAGGAACAGCAGGCCATCCTGAAGGAGGTCTCGCAGAAGTTTGGGCACCTAGCACAGGCACCTATCGATCGTCAGAGGTCATACAGCCGAGCGGCGTCCGACTTTCGAGACATCGTCGACGACATGATCTCGCGCAAGCTGGCGCAGAAGCGAGGGAGGTTTTTCAAGGCACGCAGTGGGAGCTCGCTTGAGGAGTCCGACTCCATTCAAGCCATGGCTTTTGTGAGCATAGACTGTCGCCCTTTCTGACTTTAGACTCTCGAAGCGGTCACAGTGAACAGAAACGCGCAGATAATGCGCAGAACTATCTCCGCTACAGACGACGAATGCCCCTACACCCAAAAGCTTCAAAAGCTTCTCCCCGGCGATGTGTCCAAGTTCACCGAGTTTGCAAGAGTCTACCTCTCCATGCCAGCGCGGCTGAGGGACGAGAAGGAGGTTGACAGCGACAGCGACAGCGACAGCGATGCAGACGAAGACGGGGAGGATCTGATAGTTGAGGACTATGACAAGTCCGATTCTGATAGCGAGTCAGAGGAAGACGACGACGACGACGCGGACGCCTGATGAGCTTGACGTATACTCCGGACGCGAGCTGAATCGTGTATAATAAGCGCCATGTTGTACATCAGTGATGTAAGCTTGTATAGACTTGACATGTAACAGGAAGCGCGGGTTCGCTCATGCCTACTCAGTGCACCCTGCCAATTGAGACTGACGCCCGAGTCGACAATGGTCATTGCTCCTATTTGATTCTCAACATACTCAACGTAATTGGCGCGGCGGTCAGGTTACGCAGCTGGCCCCCTTTGACAGCTTTCGAATTCAATGAGACCACCCCATCATTGGCACCGCAGACGCCTCCTGCATAATCGACTTTGGGACACGCGGACAACACGCTCCCACGTCTGTCGAAGCTTGCGACGCATGGACGAGTTCAGCCCCTGCCTATATTGTTCGAATAGGCAACGAAACTCACTCACAATAGTGAAGTCAAAATGCCCCTAGGTGGCTCAATATCTTTGCGCTCCCTCGACGCCCTGTCTGTTCGACGGGTGCGCTTGAATCGCAACTTCTGCATATACGGTGTATGAGGTCAACTGCAAATGAGGGGAGACCGGGCTGAGTGTTGGGCGTCCCTGGCTTTACGAGCCGGCTGGATGCGCGTAGGGATCTGTTGGTGTTGACCTCGGCGACCGAGACACCGCGCGAGCCGTCTGCTCGGCGGCGAGCTCCTCGGCGAAGGCAGTGTTGGAGACAAGCTCCTCGGCGAAGGCAGTGTTGGAGACAAGCTCCTCGGCGACGGCAGTGTTGGTGACGAGCTTCTTGGCGGCGCTGCTCTCGTTCGCAGCCTTCTCAGCGACGAGCTCCTGGACGGCGCGGCGCTCGGCAGGGGCGGCGGACCAGTGTGTCGGCGCTTTGCTGCTCCGAAGGTATGCTCCCACGGCCCAAACGTTTGACCCAGAAGACGGGTGTTGTCTGTTGCTTGCGTAATCGCTCGACGCAGGCGGCGGAGGGATGCGAGCGGCGACCGAGGGCGCAAAGAGGGGGCAGGGCGTCGCGCAAGTGAGGGAGGACTAAGCAGATGGCTGTCGTGGCTCTCCACTGCTAGCGGATTGATGAGACGACCACATTGTGCATCTACGCGTTCAGCTGGTGCTGTGAACACGGAACATCCTGGCATCGATCCATGCCGCCATGTGAGAACTCACCTCCTCCTGCTTCTCGAGCTAGACCGCGGGGAAGGCCGAAGGTGGGCTCCGGCGGCGGGCAAGTGACGGGTACTCAGCGTTGAGTGAATCTTGCGTTTACGCCGCTTTCCTCTTTCCTTGGTGTCCGTGAGAGTCTGAATGGGCGTGCACTGTCCGTGATCGTAGTGGTAGTCAAAGTTGTTGATCTGTCCGTGATCGTAGTGGTAGTCGAAGTTGTTGATGGTCGTTGATGGCAACTGTTGACAGCCTGTCAACAGCGGTCGTCAGTGGCGGCATTAGTGGGAAACGCCGCGTATGGCGTAACAGCTAGCTGGATCACACACCCACGAAAATGCACTGTCAGCTGTCCCGCTTCACGCGCTTCAGTATATATGCGTTCAAGTTTGCACAGCTTGGCGGAGTCACCGATCGATACCCAGCTGCTCGATCTCATCATCTGAGCTGGGTCAGTGAAAGAGCGCTCCCTGAATCATCACTCGCCGCCTTGTCTCAGGCACGTATCACTGTGGCTTCGGATCCCTGAGGACTACATTTTCTCACTCACTCACTCACCCGGAGTCTGTATGCTTGCTTGATAGCTGATGATCGTCCACGGTGCTCTTAGGAAGAGCCTCAAGCGCGTGTAAGCAACAATCACCAGGTGCTGGGCGGCCCATGACTCTAGCGCCGCCCCTAGCTGACTCATGGCTCGCCAGATATGGTTCTCAGGATTCACGACACCCCCCCCCCCCCCTCCCCGGCCTCGCCGTGCGTCGCGCACGTGATGGTGACCTGCGTGCCGGCGGCGTACGAGGTGACGATGCTGCCGCCGGTGTTGGGCTCCGAGCGACAGTTGAGTCCCTCCTTGACGGGGTAGGGGCCCGCGGCGGAGACGGTGGCGGCAAGGGAAGCGATGATCAGGTAGAGCACTGATGTCAGATGTGCAAGGAAGAGACTCACTGTTGAGTTCACAAGTTGGTTGCGCTGTGGCTGGAACAGCGGTACCCTCTTATATATGAAGTCTCCGGTTTCTAACATTCGGCCCTCCGCCCGGTCAGCTGCCCCTCGTCGACACCCGTGCACGTAACAGGTGGCACGTGCATGTCAGATGACGGCCGACTGCGGCGCACTGCAGGCTCGTGAGACTCCGGACACCCTGAAGTGCGCGACGGCAAAATGACCGATCGATATGTCATCTCGGTCTCCTCGTTTCACCCGTTCAATTGATTTTTCGCAGAAAGGACTGCGCTCCGCATGACGCAGGGTCCCGAATAGCCGAATGGGGTGCAGGTTGCACGTTCCGTACTGTTGTCCTCTAGGCTAGTCCGTATGTATCCTTGTATCGTTGGCTGTGTCTGATGTTGTCGGGTTCGTAGTAATCGTAGTTGTTCTTGTTATTCGATGAGTGATGGAGTGGTTGATCGATTGCAGCGACGATCGCTCGGTCCTCGGAACCTCCACCATAGGGGAAACTGGAACTCAGTTCCAGTTTGCCACACCGGGCACGTGACCTCTTCGTCCACCGTCCCGATTAGATTCCCCACAGCGTGCCGAGATCATCCATTCCTCCTGCTGGATGATCTGAGGCGCAGAGCGGACAGGTTGGGATGGTGGAACGGGCTGAATGCCCGGGACGTACCGAGAGCAAGTATCGAGGGGTAGAGACAGGTCGAGGGGCGTCGCGAGGTGAGGATCGGCACCGAAGTCATACGTCTCACGGTTTGCTGGCTTGGCCTGCATCCTCACGTGCTTGCGTAAAGTTAAGACAATGCGTGTGAGGGCCCGCTCGCGCCCTTGCCACTGATGACGCTTGTGAACAAGTTGAGTCTTGAAGTTCGTGACCAGCTCCGACCTTCACCTGCCAACACACGCCGGAAGGCAGCCCACCAGAGTCTATCGGAGGCGAGCGCGGGCGATCTCGAGCTGCATCGCAGATCACTCCCCCGCTCCCTCAGCTGATCGACTGCGCAGCTCCGCAGAGACGGCATGGGCAGTGGTGACTACCTCATGCCAAGCCTCCAAGCGTGAACGCCTGCGGAGATTCTAAGGCCTGTGCTTCTGGTGCCTCCTCCGCTCGCTCCGCTCTGCACTGTGTTTGCGACGTGGACAGACGGAAGATCATCTATCCTGTGAGCACGCACCACGTGCTCAGCAGCCAGTGCCCCGGCACCAACCTCGGCCTTTGTTCGAAGTTCACCGGCAGTGAGTTCAGGGCGGTGGTGCGTCTGAGAGTATAGGCGCGGCGCCGTCGTTCTCTGTCACGGTGCAGCAAATGGCGACGATCAGCGAAGGAACCGATAGCTTCTGCAGGCCACAGGCGAGGGTCAGACGAGTTTGAAGAAACCACACTGTGATTGCGAGGGGTCGAAGTTGCGTTGAAGCTGCAAGGGCGGCCAGTCAGATCGGAAGTGGGACGGGAGTTCAGACAGAATTGTCGATCGCGATGCGATCTCGACCTTATCTCTTACAAGAGAGAGTCGGGGAGATTAAAGCTGCAGGTATTCGCGTCAAGATGATGGCGATGACTGACTACATGATGTGGGTGGATTCAAAGTTCCACTGCGATTGGTCAGTGTCTTCGGGCTGTTAATCGAATCCGTCACTGACGCAAGTTGTTCCGGAAAGACGACCGCTAATCAACTGACGGGCTGCATCTCGTTGAAAATGGGAGACAAGTAGGTCATAAGAGGCTGGATTGGGCAAAGATCCCAGGCTGGCTTGTCGGTGCAGGTGGCTTCTTCCTAGGAGTGCACACTAGCGATGTCGGCATCATAGGACGGGGGTGTAGACATGTTGCCGGGATTGCTCAGTTGATGCCTGTCTTGCTCATGGGTTGATTCCTGCTTCGACAATGGGAGAGTTGGTCGAGGAAGCGAGCGGTGTAAGATGAGTTAACGCAGATTGTGAAAGTGGGTGTATACGGGGTGGCGAGGGTGTTGTTGTTGTCTGACGCAAGGTGACTCAACCACTGTGACACATGGCTTTGGCTCTGTGCACCATGGCGCCGATTGTTTAGGCGCCCACACTCGAGCTGCTAGGATTCATAGTGACCACACCTAACAATGCCTGGTCCCTTGCATTGCCCGTGCTTGAATGCTGAAGTGCACAACGAGTCTTGACCCTAGAGGGAAATTGGAGCTGGAGGATGTGTTTGTTGTTCCAGAACGTCACGCCGATGATTGTGCTGTGTCTCCTGCCATTTGCCCCCGAATCGCCACGCTGGCTTGTCGCTCAGGGCCGCACGGAGGAAGCGCACAAGATGCTCGCCAAGTACCACGCAAACGGGGACATGGATGACGAGCTGGTTCTCTGGGAATTGAAGGAGATCAACAGGGCACTCGAAATCGAAAAAATGGCGAAAAATGTCGGATATTCTGAATTTTTCAAGACCAAGGGCAACCGCAAGCGCCTCTTCATCATCCTCTTCGTCGGCTTCTCGGCGCAGTGGGTCGGCAACGGCATCATCTCGTTCTACGTCGTGTCCATCCTCGAGTCCGCTGGCATCACCAACCCGACCGACCAGACGGCGTACAACGGCGGCCTCCAGATCTGGAACTGGTTCTCGGCCATTGGTGGCGGCCTCGTGTGCGAGCGCTTCGGCCGCCGCAAGATGTGGCTCACCTCCTCGATCGGCCAGTTCTTCTCGTACGCCGTTATCACGCTCTGCTCCGCGCTGTACGCGAACGGCCATGCAAAGGCCGGCTACCCCGTGCTCGCGAGTCTCTTCGTGTACTTCTTCTTCTACTCGATTGCCTTCACGCCTCTGCTGCTCGCGTACCCCATCGAGATCCTCCCGTACACGCTCCGCTCGAAGGGCGTCTCGATCCTCCTCTTCTGCACCCTCACCGCCACGATGCTGAACACGTTCGTCAACCCGCTCGCCCTCGAGGCGCTCGAGTGGAAGTACTACTTCGTGTTCCTCGGCATGATCGTCATCGTCACCATCGTCATCTACTTCTATTACCCCGAGACCCAGGGCCACTCGCTCGAGGAAATCGCGGTCATCTTTGACGGTCCCGCGGCCAAGACCACTGCCGATGACGACGACGACTTTGTCGCCCCCGAGGAGCGCCGGGGCACCCTCGACCCTCGTTAGTGATGTATGCAATTGTTGCGTGACAGTGAGGCTACATTTCGTCAAGCACGACTCCACTAACGTTGCGCTTGAGCTACTGATATGACCACGGCCTCGACTAGTGGAGCCGGGGCAAGATAAGATTAATATGGCGTCTATCGGAGCGAAAGCGAGCTGTCTCATCTTCATGACATTGCTACAGCGAATGTATGGTCTCATTATTGCGCTCGGGTCGGCGACCACGCACCAGTGTGTGCTTTGGCTTAGTCGGCGGCGCAGTTGGGCCACGCCTCGGTGCTGCCAGGGGACTGAGCCAGGGCGACCTCCTCGTTCCTGCGGCGGACGAGGCCCTCGAGCTCCACTCCTTCGGCGAGGGTATATTTGGGGAACTCCTCGCCGATAACAACATTGGCGTCCTCGCCAGCGTTAAGCCTGCCGGCAAAGTCGGACAGAATGCCGCAGCCGAGGTTGTAGCAGAACGATGTGAGGGCCGCCCACTGGTTCTTGTTCAGCTTGGCGCCGTCTGTGAGGTACTGGGGCATGCAGGACACGTAGTTGGGGAGGTCTCTCTTGAACAGCTCGGTCGCGGTCTCCTCGGTCAGGGGGTAGCTGAAGCCGGTGTCGCTGCAGGTCGAGTCGTCGCCGCCGGAGCACAGGTGGCCATACCCGACCGTCCACTTGCCACCCGCATCCTGATACGGGTTGGCCACGCAGCCCTCGAAGCTCTTGATGAGCTCGACGCCGGCGTCGTTGATATTCGGGCACCCGCCCGGGGTGCCGCTGCCGCCGTTGCACTCGGGCGCGACAAACTCGGCCGTGCCGGTCGAAACGTACCAGTCGGACACGAAGCAGCCGTCCGAGGTCTTGTCCCACACGTCGTGGCCGTTCACGGCCTCGCCGTGCGTCGCGCACGTGATGGTGACCTGCGTGCCGGCGGCGTACGAGGTGACGATGCTGCCGCCGGTGTTGGGCTCCGAGCGACAGTTGAGTCCCTCCTTGACGGGGTAGGGGCCCGCGGCGGAGACGGTGGCGGCAAGGGAAGCGATGATCAGGTAGAGCACTGATGTCAGATGTGCAAGGAAGAGACTCACTGTTGAGTTCACAAGTTGGTTGCGCTGTGGCTGGAACAGCGGTACCCTCTTATATATGAAGTCTCCGGTTTCTAACATTCGGCCCTCCGCCCGGTCAGCTGCCCCTCGTCGACACCCGTGCACGTAACAGGTGGCACGTGCATGTCAGATGACGGCCGACTGCGGCGCACTGCAGGCTCGTGAGACTCCGGACACCCTGAAGTGCGCGACGGCAAAATGACCGATCGATATGTCATCTCGGTCTCCTCGTTTCACCCGTTCAATTGATTTTTCGCAGAAAGGACTGCGCTCCGCATGACGCAGGGTCCCGAATAGCCGAATGGGGTGCAGGTTGCACGTTCCATGCTGCATTGTCTCCATGGTTCTGCGTTTCGGATCCGACGTTGGAGCTGCCGAACACTGACTGAATGGTAGCGATTAACGTGTCAGATGCTTCGGCGCTTCGGGTTCGGTGTAGTGCGCCGGAATTTTCAGACCGCCGGACGTGGCCTAGCAGCCTGATATAGCAAGGTTCCGAACTCGGCTCTGTTACGTTGAGGTGCAATGGCCTATCGATGTGACGTCGTGGCACTCAGACGTGCGATAAACCTGCACAGAGTCAGATTATCAGTAGTCCTCGGCACGCACGGATCCTTGCGGGCTCCGGCGTCGTCAGCTGTGAGAATGCGCGTCAGTGAGCTCCACCAGAGCACTAAAGCGGTTGGGCGCGATGCGATCCGATCTTGTAGCGATGTGCATCGCGGAACCTTGCACTCGTACCTCGTGGTCACCTGTTAGTCAGCTGAGTACCGAGGCCGAATCACCGTTTCTGCGACTACGCTTCGAGACCATGTCAGCGCAGCCCAAGTGGTGATGTCATATACAAGCTACCACGTTGGTTTACAGGGACGGAAGGGTATGAACAAGGTTGAAGGTCGCGGGTACAGGGTGGCGACTTAGAGGTGCTGCCAGACGCCGGCGCGCTCTTAATGGGCCCCGTGGTCGACGGGGCGCGCAGTGGCTGGGCTTTGACCCGCGCCGGAACTGCTGCTGCCGCCAACGCCCTTGTCCTCGTCGAGCTTCGCTGGGCGATCGAGCATGCCCGGGTCCGTCTTGAGCTTCTCGATCACCTGTCTGGCGTCGGCGCGCACGTCCAAGGTGAACGCGAAGGTGGTCTTGCGGGACTTCTTGTACGCGCGCTGCAGTTCCGACCAGAACTGGTCGATCTCGGCCGCGGTGGGCTTCTGGCCCTTGACCTTGTGGATGAGAGCAAAGTAGGACATAAGAGGCTGGATTTGGCGAAGGTTCCAGGCTGGCTTGTCGGTGCTGGTGGCTTCTTCCTAGGAGTGCACAACAGCATCACCGACGCGGAAGGTGTACCCTCTCTTCTCGACGCCCTTGATCAACCTCTCGAACACGTCCTTGACTCGCTGGAAGCTTTCTTCCTCCGCACGTTTGCGCTCGGCAACCTCCTCCTTGCTGCGCACCTTCCTCTGACGGGGTTTCTTCGGTTTGGGTGGGAGCGCGGGGAGGTCGAGGGGCGTGCCCAGGCTGCTGATGATGTGGTCGACGCCTCCATTCTCCCTCCTGCGCTTCTCTCTTGCTGCCCACGACCCACGGGGAGGGTCGGGTGGCGAAGAGAAGACGTCGGCATCATAGGACGGGGGTGTAGACATGTTGCCGGGATTGCTCAGTTGATGTCTGTCTTGCTCATGGGTTGATTCCTGCTTCGACAATCGGAGAGTTGGTCGACGACGCGAGTGTCAATGGTGTCGGATGAGTTGAAGCAGATTGTGAAGTGAGTGTAAACGAGGTGGCGAGGGTGTTGTTGTTGTCTGACGCGAGGTGACTCAACCACTGCGCCGCGTGATTTTGGCTCCGTGCACCATGGCGCCGACTGTTTAGACTCCCACGCTCGAGCTGCAAGGATCTACGGTCGCGGAGCAGCAGTGCACCTCTCCTTGAGTGCATTGCATGTGCTTGAGTGCTGATGTATGTAACGAGTCCGTTCATCACCGTATCTTAGCAGACTGAGCTCCTTTGCGCTTCTCACACGACCGCCAACCTCGCTGCCTGTCTCACGCCAGCACCCAACTTTGCATATATCCTCACACGACACCCTGCCGGTCGCCAAATCACCAGCATCATGTATCAGGGCCATGCGCTGAGTCAACTAAGAATGCAGTTTAACGCAGTTCAGCACTGAGCCCCTTCTCTTGGGTCTGGAGGCTTCGATCGAAGTACAAGGGGGCAACTCATTCGATCCAGATGTCGCCCCACTGGCACCAGGTTGTTATCTCGGTCAATAGCGACGTCTACGCCTCAGTTACCCCTGTCCGCCTAATTGCCTGCCAAAGGCTGGTCAGAGTTGTGAATTACGTAAGATAGCTTTGGTATCTCATCAACCATCAGCCTGTGTTCTCTCAACTAACAGCTCGTCACTCACGCGTAACATGGACCGACCATCGGGATCTGCCCCCAGCCAACCGTCACAGACTTCGGAAGGACCGCAAAGTGGAGTCGTCAAGATGGTGTGGCCACCTGGTGCGACGTTCGCTCGCGTCTACGAGACCGAGGAAGGATCGCCTGGCACGTTGCGATCCTCAATCAAGCCCGTACCCCGCCCGCCTTCCGGAGGGTTCGTGACCTTCACTGAAGAGGAGCTCATTCGGACGAAGATCCACCAGCAGGAGCCAGAGCTGGCCTGCCATGTCAAGGATGCTCGATACCCGTTTGCATTCGACGTCCTCTTGACGAAGTGGGGCAACAGCGTTGGGTACCCCCAAAGAAGTTCAGATGGCACGGCAAATGTCACCCCTCTGCCGAAACAAGTTTATCAGCTGTACTTCTCGGCTTCGAGACTATTGGCCCGTGAGCTAGAAGGTCCCTACCATCGCACCGGATTTGTCCCGGAGCGATTCGTGTTCAAGTATGAGCACCCCCACGTCTCTGTCGAGGTCGTGCAGTCCGACGAAGAGGCGGCGGCCCAACTCGCCATCGCCCGCGGCCCCGAAGCTGTTGTAGGAGAAGGCAGGCTGATTGACTGGAACGCTCGGCTGGAGGAAGAGCTGTCTCGCCCAGGAGATGATTCCGCTCAGCGTTCCGCTGGCGACCAGCACCTGTAGCGCACATGCATATGATCCTTCGCTTCCTCGCTGCCTGCTGCGTACCAAGCTGTTAGCCTGAAACTTAAGGAGTCTGGAACAGTTGAGACGGGGAGCAATGACGTCATCCCCACCAGGCAGGTTCGGTGTCTTGGTGAAAGAGTGCTAGCAGTAACAGCAAGTAGGGAGTCCTCGCTTGGGAAGCAAGCGAAGATGGTAAACATCTATCCATGGATACAGTCCGGTCACACGCATCCTACTCCTAGTCGAGCCAATACACATGCGCCTCCCAGCTGAACATCCCCAAGACCACCAACCCGGACTGTCAAACAGTCCTCAACACACTGCCGTACAACCTGCTTCACACGAGGTCCCTGCGGCTGTTGATTGCCTCATCTCTGGTAGCATAGACCACGGCCACGCTCCGAATCAGTTGCGTACGCACTTCTGCATCGAGCCCGCCCCTCCTGCGCCTGTAGGCTTCGACAGAAGTACAAGGGAGCAGTTTCTTCGCTCGAGAGTGAACAGCCGCTACCCAGACGTAGAATGCCAGCTCAAGAATACCTACCATCGGTACGAGTTCGAGATATCAGTCACTCGGCCCGACGTTTATGCCCTCCGTACCAGCTACCCTCCGAATCCCGACCGGCCAGAACGAGAATTGCCGATGGTGTATCAAAGACGCAACCGCTGCGCTGCAGAAGGCGTCGCTGCAACACTGGGAGAGATATACGTGGCTACTGGAAGCATCCCCGAACGCTTCATCTTCGTGTACAGGTCCCCTAACACATACATCACGGGGGTTTCTCCTGATGATGACATTGACAGCGTTCTCGACGCCTTCGAGACGACTTCCTACTCGGTGGCTGGATACGGAGCCGTGGTAGACTGGCAGAGCAGACTTGATGAGGAGCTAGAACGGCTGGCAGCCCAGAGGCGAGTCAACCCTGCTCTTGGGGGTTAGGGGGGTCAATAAGACAAGATTTGTAGTCACCATGACTCGGCGAGGTGGACCCCGAGGAGTTGGGAGCACACCGTCCGTACGGATAAGTTCTTTTTCGCTTTCTGACCGGATCTACCCCTCATCGGTTACGTTTCGATAGGTGGCAAGTTGATTGGCGGAAGCAAGCTCATCAATGGAAACATTACATTGGAGGTTTACAGAGTCTGAGTCTCGAAGGATAGATAGGCGCAGTTATGATTGTGGCATAGACTCCATTACTCGAACTCCGTGGTCCTAACAAACGTCCAAGACCCACATGTGTGCCTGAGCTCATACCCAAGCAAGTTCTCTACGATAGTGGCTACGACCGGGAGGCTGACGTTGCCGATGGCAAGGCTGGCGAATCGTCCCTTCCTCAAGGAGCACTGGCGCAGATTGAGGGTGAGGTTGCTGGGCAACTGAGAGGCAGAGCTCCATCGGCGTAAGTACTGCTCGAGTGCAGTCAGAGTCGGCGAGTGGGAGCTGGAGACTTCCACTGTGGTTGCTGTCTGGGTTAGGGTGAGGTAGAATGGTGGGTGTTGGAGGAGCGAGTCGGGGCTGGGGAGACTTGCAACACCCAGTGATGGCACTTCTGCAGGGCCCTCCTCTGAGTGCTCAGCGAAGATTGGATCCCTGATTTCAATTTGCGGAGTGGAGGCGGCAGACTGCGGCCGCAGCTGGGCAGCCTTGACTGTCGGCACCTTGGGTGCCTCGTCGTTTTGGGCCTCCAGCTCGGGTTCGAACGTCTGCGTGAGCTGCCGAGTGAAGGCGGGAATGGACTCGAAGGGGCACAGCACCTGCCTCCGCGGCACCGTCAGAGTGAAACGGCCGGTCAGGTCGTTCCATGATGTCCTGGCTTCCGAGGCGTCGTGCGAGACCTGCTGTCAGCATGAGCTACGTAAGAGCTCACCTTGAAGTCGAGGTTCAGATGCTTGCCCAGCCCCAGCACCCGGTCGACAACCTGCCGACCAAGGGTCTCCTTCTCGGCTTCGGCTAGTGCGGTGAATGCGGTAAGCCACGCTGCGGCGTATCCGGCCATGCTCGAGGCGAGAACGCGGTGGTCGTCGTACAGCTCGTCGAGCTCGTCCATGACGATGCCCCAGTTGATGGCGATGCGCGTGTCCAGGCCGAGCGCGGACTTCAGCGCCGCCTTCGCCCGCGAGACATCGCTGTCGGCGTTGTCCCAGAAGTCGCGGATACCGATGCTCAGCTTCAGGGGGCTATCGTGAGCAGACGTCTCTTTGGGCTACGCACAGACTCGAGATTGTCATGGTGTGTGCGATGCAGAAAGTTCTCTGTCGATCCCTCCTTTACTGCGGTTCGGAACTGGGCCGCGTCCGAGAGCATCCGAGGCATCGCCTCGGCGCTCGTGGCCGCCGTGGCGTGTGCCACTGAATGCGTCCTGAGCGCCGAGCGAGGTCGGCATCTTAGTGCGGGGCCCAACGCCGACAGCCGCGGCTGCGGTATGTGGAAACGCGGGTAAGTCCAAAAGCCGAGCCCGATCGGAGGAGCCCGACCGGCCCACTTCTTCATCTCACGACTTTCTCGTTTCTCTCTGCACAACCATGACTGTCGACAGGTTCCCGGAGCCCAAGCTCAAGTCGCCAGACGCACTCGACACGCTCCTCCGCGAGCGCGTCGCGAAGCGCGACCTCCCCGCCATCTTCCTCGGGGCAACGAACGCGGACGAGACGATCTACCTGAACCAGGCGGGTGAGCGCGTGTTCGGCAACGCTGCCGCGGGAGAGGTCAACGAAGATACGCGTGAGTCACCGCGAGGACGTGCCTGACAGAAGCATGCGAGCTGTTCTCGCAGACCAAGCTAGTCACCTCGGTCGCGTGCCTGCAGCTCGTGGACCAGGGACTCGCGACGCTCGACGACCCCGCGCTCATCCGCAAACACCTGCCCGAGCTCGACGGCATTCCCATTCTCGAGGGCTACGAGGACGGGAAGCCGGTCCTCGTCCCCTCCACCAACCCCGTGACGCTGCGCAACCTGCTGTCGCACACGTTCGGGAGCATCCTGCCGATCATCTCGCCGCTGATGACGCGCTACTTCGAGGACGCGGGCTGCCATAACCTCTTTGCGCCCGGCACCAAGGTGTCGGACATGGTGACGCCGCTCGTGTTCAACCCCGGCGAGGGCTGGAGCTACGGGTACTGCATCGACTGGGCGGGCGTGCTGGTGGAGCGCATCAGCGGCCTGCGGCTCGACGAGTACTTTGAGCGCAACATCTGGGCGCCGCTCGGGATCAAGCACATGGAGTGCTTCCCGACCGACGAGGTCAAGGCGAAGAAGATGTGGGTGTGCATCCGCAACGAGGCGGGCGAGCCGCAGGTCATGCCGACCGGCTTTGGACTGGGCCGCGCCGAGCGGCCAGAGGACGTCGGCGTCGTCCTCGGCGGCGGGGCGCTGTACGGCAGTCAGAAAGAGTACCTCGCCTTCCTCCGGGGCATCCTCCGCTCGGACCCGCGCTACCAGGGCTCGGGGCACGCGCTGCTGAGTCCGAAGAGCTACGCCGAGCTGTTCACCCCGTCCGTTGCGCCGGACCACCCCGGCATGCCCACCCTCGTCGGCATGGTGAACGGGTGGATCCCCTTCGAGCCCGCAACCGAGCACACGCTGAGCCACAGCGTCGGCTTTGCGCTCTCGCTGGCGGACAAGCCGGGACGGCGGCGCGCGGGCAGCGGGTTCTGGGGCGGCGCGTGCAAGACCAACTACTGGATCGATCCCGCGACGGGCCTCGCCGGGGTGGCGGGCACGAGCCTGCGCAACGGGCAGGATCCGTGGGAGGGGTTCAACATTGAGTTTGAGCGGGTGCTGTACGCGTCATTGGCTTAATGCATATGTTACATGAGGGTGCACTCTGCGTTGCGCTCGAGCGTCTCGAGGTTGCGGGGCAGGTTGCGGTTCGGGCGCGACTTGGCGTGCGCAAACTCCATCCCCGTGACGAGCTTGCCCCAGTAGATGTGGTGGAAGTGCGAGATGCGGGGAAACCCGGCCGCGAGCTTGCGCATGACCTCCTTGTCGTCCTTGTCGCCCGCGGCGAGGACGGCCAGCGTCCAGTGGATGCGCGCCTCGCCGTCGTCGCGCGTGACGATCTTATCGTCGTCGTACGGCGTGCCGTCGAGCGCCTCCTCGAGGCGCGCAAAGATGATCATGAGAGTGATCATCATCGACGGGTGGTTGAACGCCGAGCATGGGAAGCGGCCCCCAACATCGGCCATGAGGTCGATGTTGGCGTACTCGAGCATGGAGCGGGAGGCGATGCCGTGGTGCTTGCGCACGCTGATGTGCACGTCGCGCGCGCCGTCGAGCGACCCGGCGACGCCGTACTTGCGCGGCTTCTCCGAGAGGCGGAGCGCGCGCCGCCGCTCGGCCATGCGCGCCCACGGGATGCCGATCTGCTCTGCGCGCTGGCGCAGGGCTGCCTCGCCCTCGTGCCGCTGCATCGCGCAGATGAACGTCAGCGCGTGGTTCTCGTCGGTCAGGTACGCGTCGGGCACGCGGTCGATGACCCAGTCGGCCTTGTACAGCTCGGCGATGAGGTTGTTGCGGTTGAAGAACGTGTTTGTCTCGGCGTCGGCAAACTTGGCCACGTTGAACTGCCGCCCGCGGTACTTGCTGCGCAGCTCGGCGAGGCGGCGCGCCATCTCGCGCGGCGCCTCGGCGTGGTACCGCTCGTACACCGCGTGCGCAAGGTCGTCCGTCGGCGGCTTGCCGTCCTTGAAGAACGCGGTTGCCCAGAGGTGCGAGATCGTCTCGAGCATCGGGTCCGGCCGCGTGAGGTACCCCTTGACGCGGAGCATGTTGTAGATGTGGACGACGCACACGACCTCGGGCGTGTGGTCCCACAGCGCGAGCCCGTACATCGACGTGACGGCGAGCGCCTCGGCGAGCCCCGCGCCGTTCAGATACGGCGAGTGCGCGTGCAGGCCGTTCTTGCTCGCGAAGCGCGACGGGGGCAGCGTGCCGTCCGGGTCGCGCGCGAGCTTGGACTCGCCGAGCCAGTTGATCAGGCTGCCGAGCACAAAGTCCATCGTCTCGAGGACGGATTGCGGCGTGCGCCGGTGGCGGAGGTAGTGCCGGGCCGTGTCGACGCCGCAGATGTAGCCCGACTCGGTGCGCTTGTGGTGGCGGTCCATGAACATGTCGCAGTCGCGCGTCGGCACAAAGCTGGACGGCGCCGCGAGGACGTGCCCCGTGAACAGGCTCAGCGACCAGCCGCGCGACACGACAAACGAGTCGACGATGCACTGCAGCTGGAACACGTGGTGCGGGCGGATGCGCGCGCGGATGTTGGTCCCCGGCTTCTTGTACGCAATGTCCGTCACGAAGCCGGCGAAGCGCGGGATGCCCCAGATGCGGCGCTCGCTGCCCCACGGGCCCTCGGGCGACCAGTCGACCTCCTCGAGCACGTAGTCGTTGCCAATGTGCTTGCGCGTCGTGACGGACGCGAACACGTTGACGAGGTCATACAGCCAGTTGATGGTGTACGCGCGGCGCCACGCGAGGCGCTCCTCCCGCGTCGCGGCCTGCAGGTCGCGCTCGGGGTCCCAGTTTGCGAGCTGCTTCTGCAGGCGCTTCGTCGGCCGCCCGGTGCGGTTCTGCTGGAAGTCCTCCGCAAACGTGACGAGCGCGTCGTACGCGTACCAGCACAGGTGCTCGCGGAGGTCAACCGTCGTCTGCGCGACCGTCGAGCCGTAGAAGATCATGTCGACGCGGAACAGCCGCTCCGCCTCGTCCATGTCCCCGCGCGTCAGCGTCTTCACGACCGTCTCGTAGCAGTCGTGCCCGGGCTCGGGAAAGTCGACGAAGATCTCGAGCTCCGCCTTCTGCACCATCCGCACGGCCATCTCGGAGACCGCACCGACGACGGCAGAGTTCGCCTTGTCGTACGCGACGCGCCACCACTCCTCCTGCAGGTATAGGCGCAGGTTCGCCGCCTCCTGCATGAGGTCGTACACGGCGACGAGGTAGTCGCTGTCGAAGCCGGACCCCTCGTGGATGACGCGGTACGCCTCGACGGGCAGGTCGAGCGTGCCGCTGGGTTTAGGAGCCGGCTCCTTCGCCTTGCGCTTCTTCTTGCCCTTGGTCTTTCGCGGCGGGGGCTTCTCCTGCACCTCCTCCTCGTCCTCCTCCTCCTTGGAGTCGTCGATACGCAGGGCGTCGAAAAAGTTGCTGAAGAGGATGTTGTCCACCTCGTCCTTGGTGTTTTCGTCGACGTCTTCTTCCTTCGAGGACGCGACGCAGCTGCCGAGCGCCTTGTGCGCCAGGCGGAGCACATCAATGAAGTGCCTGTGGGCCTCGTTGCTCTTGCGCAGCTGCTCGTCGTCGGGGTTGCTCTGGAGGTCGCGCGCGAACTCGTCGGCCGTCTCGGTGCGCAGGTCGATAATGCGCCCGAGGAGATTCGAGATCGCCGACGGAACGGCGCGGTACTTGGCGATCAGGTGCGCGAGCGAGACGATCTCGGCGGGACGCACCTGGCCGGTCGTGTTGGGCGGGGGGAGCTCGACCGCGACGCGGCGCGCGGTGAGGTCGTCGATGACGCGGTTCGACGTGTTCACGAGCCAGCACACGAGGCGGCTGGACGCCTCCTTGTACTGGCGGTAGAGCTCGGAGCGGCGCTGCAGCGCCAGCGGGCTTGACATGGTGTGCAGTGTGAACAATAACGCGTCGCGGCTGCTTGATTTTCGGTTGCGGGGCTCCCGGTATCAGCCATGTCACGTGGAGAAACCACTAACTGTCAATGCATGCATATCTATTAGGTGCAGGTGGGGAAGGCCTTCGAAGTGCCGTGCGAGGTCTTCTTTGCAAGGGCGACCTCGGCGGCGCGGCGGCGGACGAGACCGGTGAGGACGGCACCGTCCGCCTTGTTCCAGCGGGGGAACTCGGCGGCGATAACCGTGTTGACGTCCTCGCCCTTGTTGAGGCGGGCCATGAGGTCGGAGCGCTGGAAGTTGCCGCAGCCGAGGTTGAAGACGAAGGACGAGAGGGCGGCCCACTGGTTCTTGTTCAGCTTGACCTTGTCCTCGTTCAGGTTGTCGCGCAGGCACTTGGTGTATCTAGGGATGTCCTTCTTCAGGAGCTCGCCGGCCGTGGCGAGCGTGAGAGGGTACTTGAATCCGGTGCCGGAGCAGGTGCTGTCCTTGCCGCCGTTGGCGCAGAGGTGGCCGTAGCCGACGGTCCACAGGCCCTTGGGGTCCTTGTAGGGACGGGGCTGGAAGGACTCAAACTCCTGGATGAGGGCGATGCCGTCGGCGTTGACCCACGAGCAGCCGGGTGTGCCCGTCGACGTCGAGCCGCACTTGCTCACGACGGGGGTGGTCGAGCCAGTCTTGACGTAGTAGTCCGAGACGTAGCACCCGTCGCCGGTCTTGTCCCAGTACGTGTTGCCCTCGACCGAGGTGCCCGTCTTGTAGCACGAGAGGGTGACCTTGTCGCCGGCGCTGTACGTCTTCTTGATGTCGTAGCTGGTGCCGGGGCCCGAGCGGCAGCGGACGCCGTCGGTCTTGATCGGGTACGACGCGGCAGAGGCGGTCGCGGCGAGGACGGTGGTGAGGAGAGCGGAGACGAGCACTACTGTCAGCGCCGCTGCGAGCGGACTCACTTTTGACTGTCAAGTGTGGCTGGGACTGACCGCTAAGTGCTGTGTTATATACGGATCCGTGCTGGCCGGCCCAGACGGGGCTGCCGGAACCTCAGCTTCCGTTATCGTCATCTGGGGCATTCAATCCAGTGGATCAGTGCGAGGTGCAGCTTCGTGGGTCGGAGTGATCGAATGGGTTTCCTTCATCTCGTCGGCGTACTCACCGACCAGACTGTGAGACCCCTGTGAGAGGCGCCAAGATAGGACAGCCAGGTTACCGAGGGGCGTGAATTGAGAGTGAGGTCATTCGCGCGGCTGCACGTTCTTCCATCCCAGGCCGCCTCAAGCACGATGCCGGGGCCGCGGAGACACGGGTACAAGAAAGAGGAAGGGCTTGCCCGCGTGATTCTGATGATCCCGCTGATTGGTTTGGGAGGTCTTGGCATTGGCCCTGTGAGCGGTTTCTTCCATCGAACGAGCAGCCTTCGCTCCTCCTTTTCGACTTCCGTCCTCCTTTACATCCTTCTCGATTCGTGGAGCGAGCAGCACAGGGCTGCCACTTCTTCATGAAACTCTAAAACGTGATCCGCAGGTGCGTTCAGGACACCTTGGTGTGTCGAGAGACACGCGTACCTCCGTGCACGGAGAGATCCCTGACGAGAGACCTGCCCGCACGCCGGTGTGGTCCGATGTGCCGGAATCAGTGCCGGCGGCGCTCTGGCCCAACGATGATCCTCCAATATCCGCGCTCTCTGCCAACCCTTGTCTCATTACGCCCTGCGAGCCTGCAGGATCGGCGTTGGCGGCCTGCCCTCCGTGAAGCCGGAGCTACTGCCTCCGAGCCAGTGACGCAGCCAACAACCCACTCCCCACCGTCGTTCACCGAGAAACAAATGGCGCCTCCGAACTCTAATCATCGCCGTGTGCCGGTGTGCTCCGGGCCGCGCGCCGTGCACGGAGTGCGAGTCTGTCACTTCGGCGCGCAAACCTGTCATCTGCTGTGGCCTGCCCGAAGCCGGTCCGAAAGGTGCTCCGAACACGGACATGGCCTCGGCCGTGGGCAAGTGTGGGTCAAGGGGCGTGGGCGGGAACGCTAGCATTGAGTTGCGCATCACGATCCTGGAACCTGGGAGTTCTTTCATGTTGCTCACTGCCCGAGCTGCCCACTTGCAACTGGCCCACTCGAACGTCTGCAACGGACACGTCGGCGCCAGTGTGATCCGGCTGAACAATGGCAACGGGCAAAAATCCGGAAGCCGGCGCTGCCATATCAGGCACCTGCGCAGATGACTTTCCTTCTCGAAGTCCTGGTCGGTAGCGGCCACCATATGGGGCAGGTAGATAGAGCGATAGGTGCTCCCTCAGCAGTCGGGCACTGTCGAAGTCTCCTCCAGACGCATCGAATAGGCCGACGTCGCTTGATGACGCTCTTCAGGATCTGATAGCCGGTTTGATCCTTGGAGACCCACTTGTTACCCCAGCCACGCGGCTCTGGGAAGGCGCTGTCTCTCGAGGGATACCGAGAGAGTAGGTACGGGGCGGCTAGCTCGATCGCGTGCTCAGCCTCACAGCTGTGGACGTGGGTCCGTTCTAGTGGTTGTCACCGCCGTGCTTGCCCCGGGGAAGCTGCTCGCCACAGCGGCGGCAGCGCCCGTCGAAGAGCAATGGCCGAACGAATTAGCTTGGTCCCCTTGGCCTCGTTCAGCCGCTCGACGGCCGCTACGCCGAAACGGACAGCCTCACACAGGTCTCCGTCGCACTCAAAAAGCACACCGCGCCAGTCGGGAAGGGGTTTGAGATGCGACTCGGGACCAGAGGGAGCGTCAGCGATGGGAGTTCCGCTTGCCGCATTGTCGCCTGCCACGTCGAGGTCGTCTGGAGGAAGTGTATGGGCGAAGAAGTCTTGGACGTCGGCTGTTTCCAGCTCGGTTGTTCTCAGGATCGCGTCCATCCCCTCAATGTCATAGTCGACAGCGTCGCCGTCGCTCGGGATGTAGTTGACAGCACTGATGCTGCTGGTCTGATCTTGGCCGTTGATCGCCTGGATCTTGGCACGGTACAAGCGTCTGTATGTGGCGTCAGCCTTCTCCCACAAGCCCTTCAGCGCTGCCTTCAGGTCGTTTGGCCAGTCACCCGTGTCGGGACAGGCCGCTAACACTCTGGCACGAGGCGCGCAAGTCTCTCCCAGAGGTAGACAGCTGCACTGGTTAGACCATGCATTATAGTGCACTTACGTTCGGAGTCCACGGGTACCTGGTCCTGGTCCGCCGTCGAGAGCGCTACGATCGCGGGGTTCGCCTTGAGCACGTTGGGATGTGGAGAGAACGTCGAGAGAACGTTCGCTTCCGCCTGCTTTTCTGACCACCTCCACCGCCCCCTGTATGTCGACCGAGCTGCTAGGTCAGCTGCAAATGAGACTCAACCTACGGTGCCTGTGGCTCCGTCATTGCATGCGGATAGTTCTCTCGCGCAAGACGCCGCGGAAGGACGGGTTGAGGAGACGTTCAGGGTAGAGAAAAGGGCGTCATCCAGCCGCCGCAAGGGAAGTAAGTCATCAAGCAACGCAACCGCTTGTGTGTCTCGCGGATAAGGGAGATACTACACTGATAGTGATGGTGGTCTTGGACTTGGGCGTGCCGTAGTCATTGGAAAGGCTTTTGGACCTCCAGCGGGCGAAGTGGAGGCCCAGATTGAGGGTGGCAAATGGGGGAAGACGTTTTCAGCGATAAGCTCAGCCAGGCGATGTATGCGGTGCACTGAAACTGCGAAGTGCTGCGTCAGCAATGCGTTGGTCTGGACCATCCACACAGTGATGGGACCTGGAATACACTCGGAGGGCGGTGTGATGGGAATCAGTGTGGCCCTTCGGTAGCTGGCGGGTTGGGACTGGGATCAGTTGATATGCGAGCAAGGACAGAGCGGTGCTCCTCGATCGGTAGCTGTGTACATGCCAGAGTTGGATGCGATGGCTTCCGGTGTCTTGTCCATTGCAGTCAAGAGGAAGACGGAACATGTCACAAGATTCGACATACTTTGAGGCTAGTGAGCAAAAGGATCCCGAAGTGCCGGAAGCTTGACAACCCCAGTTCGCAGGGTGCTGTTGCGTGGATTCCAGCGCTCTAAATGGTCAGAGATCAAGGTTAACGGGTGTGCAGATGGTTGAGCTAAAGATGGAGAGGAGAGAAGAGGAAAGTCGCAGGTTGTTCCAAAGATAAGGCAGTTGTTGTTGTGTTTATGGTTGCCCACGTGTCCGAGTGTGACTTTTTGAAGACGCGGGCGTTTCACTTCATGGCGCAGTCAGGGGCTGAAACGGGTCTCGACTTTTTTTCTCTCGTCGCGACGCGCTCGATTGGAAGATGTCGTGCACAGTCGACTGCGAAGTATGCTACGGGGGGACGAGAATAGGTTGGCGACTGCTACACCCATGCATAAGTAATGTAGCTCGAGGTTGACTCCAACAAAGTGTATGTTGACTGCGGGGTGAGCTAAGAATACATTCGAGCAGCAGCCCAAGGCATCCGAGCCAAGGACAGAATTGTCGGCGTGGGCTCACGTCATTGAATCTTTTGCTGATAGCGTGATAACAAGCTGCACCTTTCTCACTTTATTGAGACCCTGGAGGCGGCGATCTACTGCGAAAGGAAAGGGGAAGTGAGCGATGCGGACTGCGCACAACCCAAAACAAAACGCAAGAGACAAGCATCGAGACATTGCGCCTGGAGGGAGACTCTCTCCTCGGTCAGAGCACTCCGCAGCACCGACCACGACAAAGGACACACTCTTGGTGCACAGATAAAGATTTCCTTTCTTTCCATCACAACACTCCAACATCTTCCAACACTCGTCATCCCCCCCCCCGTCTCC